TTAACAACAAGGTATATAACAAATATTTCTCAAGACCTATAAATGTGACTATTAAGTCTACCTACATTAAATTGTTTAAATGGTTATTCATCATTAACATCTTGGAAATTTTTGATATCAAGGTGAAAGTTATTGACAAGTTAAGAGAAAGGTTTCAGCTTAAATTATAGAAAGTAATCTGAGGGTTCAAAATCTATAATTAAATTAAAAAATTCAGCTTTGTGCAGCTCTTCGCTTAATTTAAAACTTAAGGAGTTTATGGCAGATACAAAAAAATAAAATCAGTTTTCAATGTTAAATCAACCCAGAACTCACCACGAGGAGGTGGCCACACCTCGAGTTGCGTTTCTAAACTTTGAATATATTCTAAAACGTAAAAAATTATTTTCTTTTCTAAACTCGTCTATTTTTAAAACACTATTTTCCTCTCTTTGCAGTTTATCTTGAATATATGATGAACTTAAATAAATATGGTAAGAACCTACCAAGTCTTTTAGAAAATTGATCTCTACTCGAGGAAATTCAGGAATATGCATGTGGTTTAGTCTTTGCCGCCGACCATTTCTGGTAGTCCGATTTTGGGCTTCAACGCGTGCTTGTATAATATTAACGTCATCTAGTTAGTTTAAAATTTCAACTGCTATATCCATTGTACCTGGTACATTTATAAGAGGATGAAACTTATTTAACAACGTACCTGCAATCTGATAAAAACCACTCAAATTAACAGCATGATGCGTGGATATGCGACCTTTAAAAAAATTTAAAATGGCAACAATTTCAACATTTTCTTGATTTTTTTATCTTACATATTCAACCGCGATCACCCTGTAAGTACGAAAATAGTACAAGGGATATATTCCTAATCTAACACAGTGTGTCAAAATATTTAATATAAGATATTTCTCTTGTAAATATCGACACTTATGTCAGTATATAATTGTTTAAAATTCATTTATTTGGTATCTACTTGTTATTGTTATATTTGAAAAACTAGTCATAGGATCCAATTTTACAAAAAAGAATTTTGAATGAGTACATCGAGTACTATAGGATATCAAATATTGAGAGACTTTGACGGTAATATTTTGTTTTTCGATATTTCAGCTATTTTTGATCGGTGGAATTACTTACTTTGGCCAAACAAGATCTACCTGTAAGGGACAATATTTTAATTATATTAGTTAAGAATATATTTTGACTACACAGAATAAGAAAATAACTTCCAAAAATATTTAAGGGTGATTTATGGTGTCCATTTTAAAGAACTAGAGATTTATAACTTCAACACCCTGTATTTTAAAATTTAGTCATAGGATACGATTGGGCCCATGGACACTTTTGATAGGGACATCAATTAATTTAATATATCAAAAATACAGACATTCTGACGGTACTCACGTTTGTATAAGAAAAATGCGTGGTCCTTTAGTGATTATTTATTAGTCTTTCCAATTTGGACAAAACAAAATTGCATAATATGTATATTTGGTTATACTTACTTCATAAAAATATATATAACTAGGTACAGTTTTTTTACACTCAAAAAGTTTGACAACCACTGGTTTAGATAGAGGTGAAATTTGCTTTTCAGGAGAGGTCCGATTTGCTCTTAAGTGATTATCCAATTTTAAATTTCGCTAAATAATTTTTATAAATCTTTATCTACAATGTTATAATTATTAAAGCAAATATTTTACATTAGATTTCACACTTTCTGATTATTTAATTATACGGATATCTCTTCAAACGTCTAAGAATTAATGTTTTTAAATTCATTACTTATTTTTTCTACACAATTACAAGGAAATTCTATATTGATGAAATGTTACTAATTAAATAAATGCTCCAGTCCAATAGGTTGTGGTTTACACTATTATAATAGCAAGTAAAAACTTTATAGTTGTTCGTCTTTGAACAAGACATACAGGTGGTTTCTCATAAATTAAAAATATTATAAATAAGACATTTACAGATGCACTTATAGTAAAAAAATTTGAAGTTACAGGGTGATATAATTAAAATAGAGGAAGGATCAAATATAACAGGAGATGTAACTAATAACAATTGGGGGGTGGGTGGCTCAGTGGTAGAGCCTCTGCCTGTGGATCCAAGGGTCCCAGGTTCGAATCCCACCGTTGGCCGGAATTTTTTTATTTAATTTAATTATTTAAAATTAATTCTGATGCCTTGGTAGGATTCCCCACTCGACCATTCACTGTTGGGTTCTAATTAGTGGCGCTGGGAAACAGTAACAAAGCCTACGAGGCGAAATAACCTTAGCAGTTGAAGCCGATGACACACAAAAAAAATAACAATTATCGTGCGGTCCTGAATACATATTCTAAGGGATACAGGAAGGCATAATATCCGCTGTTGTCATATGCCTATTTCATTATTCTCGTTTTGTTTAGAGAATTATTTACATATATTAGAAAACCTAAAATAATTCAACCTATTTTATTGCAACTGAACCCAAAAAATTTGAATAAATAGTTATATTTAATTAGATTATGATGTAATTTGTAATTAGATGTAATTTCACTAAATTAGATGTTATAATTTTCAATAAATTTCAAAACTTACTCATGTTAAGTTGGAAGTGGCAACAGGGCTTACACCGGCATGGATATTTACGTTGTTTATTATAAGCGCACAGCGGCTTACATTTATTCATTGATATAAATAAGTTGTATCTGCGTAAAATTATTTTCTTTATCCCCTCTCTTACTTCTCACCTTTCGTCTCCTCGCCACATCCCTACAAATAAAGTGTATCGATTGTCGAATTAATCTTGGCATCGTAAATATTATATTTTATCATTAAATGGTTATATCTCTGGAAAGGATTCTTAATAATTAATGTAGGATGTAATATAATTTTAACTAGACTTGGAGAGGTAATAGCTATAGTCAACTTCGTTGTAAAGTAAGATATGTTACTATGTAACTAAGTGATGTAACCACTACGAGTTTATATAACCAATAGCCAAACAGAGACACTTCATTAAGGAACTAAGTCACAATGGAGTCTTAAACGGTTAAATGGATCATAAAAAGATAATTGGATAATGAAACATTGTCCAATTGCCTCTTTATCACATAATCAGTCTTTAAAACATAATTAAAGTTGCCTTTAATAATGGACTGACTATTTTCTGATTGATTTTACAAAAGTATTTTAGTTTACGTACCAGGCCTATTAAATTTTTGTTAACATCAATGTTAATAACGACATCAAAAATTAAACGAATGTCAAAAACGTTTTATCATTTTTTTTTAATTTTGTGAAGGATAATCATCCTTGTAGGCATAATACATTTTTGAAATCAACTTTTTATAACCTTTCAAATAAGGTTTACTCGATCCTTTAGTATGATCAGATTGATCAAAAATGGCTCGCATAACAGTATATTTTTCAAACTTGGGGTAGCCATGTGTGAGTTAATGTATTAAAGGTGGGAATAAAAAAGAAAACAGGTCCTTTTGTTGTTGCTAAATTTCTCGAATATTTTACAATTTAATTCTACATAATTTTGGCATTAATAATCAGTTGATTATAGCCCTCGAGATAAAGCTCTCGGGCTCTAATCAGAATATTAATTCCAAAAATTATGTCTCATCAAATTGATAATAAAATATTCTCGAGATTTAGATTCAACAAAAATAACTGACTATTACCAAGGTCTTTGTATATTATCCTTGAATAATTTTAGCTATAAGACAAAAGTGGCTAAATAATTTGTTAACTTCTTGTCTGGTCTCTAATTTTAATATTCAAGTTTGATTGTAGGTTAATTAAAAAGAGATAGGTAGAGACAAAGACATTTCTCCCTCTTCTTAATCCTTCTGCTCTGAGGACATCGAGCTCGCTCTATGTTCTCGCTCCAAAGCGAAATAAACACTTTTTGAATCGCTCAGAGTGTCAATGCACACACGTTTGCAGCGCTCGGAGATCTCCGATGACCAAATCAAACGTACCAAATACGGCAACACCGTGAGCCTGGTGGTTTGATAAGATCAATGATATACCAATAAAAACTCCCAGGACGGAAATTTTGGTAAGTAATAGAGATATTTTAATTCTGTAAAAGCCAGTGTATAGAGCGCTAAGAGAGCTTCAGTTTAAGATATAAATTAATTTTAAATAGGTCAATATGTAGATGGCGCTGCGCTCAATTCTTTTTTTTTATGGGAGCATCTTTCTTATATGTATCTAGTAAAAGTACATTTTTAAGCAGATTTTGTTCTATAAACTAATTCGATGAATCTAGCCATATACAGAGTGGGTAACTCAAAACAGTTTCATCCCGGTTTTCGGCATTAATCATTGGATTTTTAAAAAATGCAAAAATAGATCGATTTTTATTTCAAATTAAACATATTTTTACAATACAGACATCTTCCACTTCTCCAACCCCTTAATTTTAAATAAGGAATGTACCATGTACGGTACATCATTGAAAAGGTAATATCTGTACTTAACACCATTTTTAATAATTTTGCCCTACTTATTACTTGTTTAAGGTTTAGTTTCAGTACTGTTTATTTCGGGCAATACTGGATTTTAAACTTAATTGTACCATTACAGTTTTAATTATTTTTATAAAGCATCATTATTATTATACACAAGTCCAGTACCGGATTTAGATTTTTTAATTCTGAATGGTTCTAATTTTTGAGCTTTTTGAAAAAGTTATTTAAAAATGATGTTTATTTTAACCACTTCTATAATACAAAGTTAAAAAAATTATCAACTTAGGATTCACCCTGTATAAGTGCAGCTATTAAACTAATGTACTCTTCTCAGAACAGCGTTAGAAAGTTGTAATTCAATAAATCTATAAATCTATCATTAAGTATACATATCCCAAAATAATGAATTATTGTATTATTAATATTATTAATGTTAAATATATTGCAATGCTAATCTGATAAGATTAAAAGAACATACTGAACAGAAAATATTTCAGTAATAAATGGTTTTTCTTTTGTTAGCACATGTGACAGTTTTCGATAATAGAAAAATAAAATGTGAAAAATGTACCTTGTTCGTTGTGCAACCCATTTGTGTTTTGTTAAGTTATTTTTTGTGCTGTTTTGTATTTCTACTAGGACGTCAGAAAATGATTCTTTAAAGGTATTTTTTTTTTTCGCTTTTAGTACCAGAGTTAACAATGGAACAAAAATTAAAAATCGTAAAATAATACAGTTTTCTCAAGACACCATAGCAAAAAATAAACTATGCTGAGAAAAATTAATAATAAATACTTAATGTATTTAATTTAACGAAAAATAAAATAGGTAATTAATTTTCAAATTTTTTTTAATTATAAAGAGCCAACCCATTACTTCTTATTTTGTTTAACAAATGTTTAATTATTACAAGTTTTATGTGTGATGGACACAGGGTAGACAATTTTCCATAGAGTATCTTTTAAATTATTATATATTTATGGTTGAATAAATAAGAAAAAATTGTTATGTTGAAAAGCTATTGAATTTTTTTTGAGAAGCGTTTTATTGCATCTGATATAAATCGATCTATCAACACTTTTAACCTAAAGGAAATAAAAGCTTAACCGCTTAATTTACAAACGATATTTAAAAGTACTGACCCGAAATTAAATATGCCCCGAATGCATGTAAAAACATTGTACTTTACCAAACGGCACCTGTGCCAATCACTATCCTGAGTAACATTTCGAAATATTTCTCTAAAACATCGTTAAAGGGTAACACTTTCTTCCCCTCAACATCTATCCATGATTATGACAAAAACCATTAAAAATATAAATCAATTTTACGCTAATTAAAAAAATTATTTTTTACTTATTATTGTGATTCTCTTTTACAGGTTGTCATAAAAAATACTATGGTTTATCAAAAGCCATCGTTATTCCTTTCACATACACATGGTTTAAAAGATAGGTAAAGATATTGGCCAGTCAATAGTTAATGTAATAAATACCAACTATTTTGTTTGTATTGTTGCTGAAGCAATAATCATAGAATGAATGTTTATAAATTAATAACAAGTGATCCCATTATTAAATGTTTTCCTATTTTTCCCATTAATTTGTATTTAAAATTACGAAATATAAATTTTGCAAATGTCCTTTATGTTTAATATATCAGTTTTGTTCCAAAAACTTGTATGTGTGTTATCGGTGTGCAGCACTTTTGCAATTTTTTAATCTATAATATAAATAAAAATGATATTTTACAAAAAAAAAACATTTTGCGGACTTTCAAAAAAGTTGTAATAGTAATTCACGTTTAAAAAGTAGGTTCAGAATGAATAATTAGGATTGTAATTTTTAGGGCAAAAAAATTATCGCTGGCATGTCTCATGTAATTTTTTATTATAATTTTTTTTAACCACTTTGCTCAGGATAGTTATTGGCACAGGTGCCTTTTGGTAAAGTATAATGTTGTTTCATGCCTTTGCTGATCAAATGGTGGCCGAAATTTGCAATGCGCTCTTCTAGTATACGTAAGTTATTAGTGATGCCACGAGACGAAAGATTCTCTTCTCTCGTCTCGTCTCGAACGAGACGAGAGAGACATTTTCTCTCAAAAACAGATTCGAGACGAGATGAGAGAGTGTCATCTCTCGATGAGAATTTCTCGTTTCTCTCGAGCTCTCTCGGGCTCTCTCGAACAATTTACTCTTTGCTTATTTGAAATTTTCAGTTGCTTACTGTAACTTAAAATTTTAACATATTAGATTTCGAGATAGTCAAAAAGTTAACTATAACACACCTATTCTATATATATATAAATTTTCTTGCTTTATTCGCAATGGACATTAGTCCTTCAGCCACACACAAATTGAAAGGTATTACGTTTAAATATTAGATATTAATATTATTTTTACTTACATAATCTACCAATAAATCGTACACAGATTGATTTCCAGTCGCGAGCAACACCTTAACACACGTAGGAAACTGAATACCTGCTTTTATAAGACCATCCCACAGGTCATTATTACAAAAACTCTTACAGCCGAAAAATATGTGATCGAGATCTACATTCTATATATTAAATTTATATAAAATGTATACAATCATTTCTTATATTTAATCCATTCTGCTTTTCTGAGGTTACTTTTCAAGATAAGTTGAAAATTTTTAAGCGTTTTTTCGAAAAACTGTCAAAAAAAGGCAATACAAACGAATGTATTATATACAGTGAGCACGAAAATTGTACCCTCCTCTATTTTAACTTCTAAATGAAAAAAGATAATGACAAAACAAAAACGAGGTAAAACTCAAAAGATATTTGATTTTTGTTACAACGAGATGCACTTTACTTGAGACACGTACGATAGAGGGAGTAACTAGTTTTAAATGTTCTAGTAGAAAGTAGGGTCATGTGATAATAATAATAATAATAATAATAATAATAATAGCTTTATTGCCCAACAGTTTCCCATTTACAGGACAATATTCTTAATAGTAAGTAACAATAATAAAGTGGTATCTAAAAATAAAATTAATAAATTACAAAAGTAAATTCTACTTATGGGTTGTGATGTAACATATATTTACACGAAAACTAATTAAAAGTTGCAAAATAAAAACTATAATAGAAAACAAATGAATATTGTGAACAAGCCAAGAATATATTAAAAAAACAAAAAAAAAATTCTTACAAAAATAACACAGGGAGAATTCAATATAATACAATATACTTATTACAATATTTCGTTAAGGAAAGTAACTGCATTTTTAATTAGTTCACCAAGAGAACAATGAAAAATACCGCAATGACTACTAATTTTATTGTAATTGTTACACATTACATATAAGGGTGATTTTAACATCAAGTTGGTTTTTGCCCTAGGGCATTCGAATAGCTTGTTGGTTCTAGAATTTAGACGGGGTATATTAAATTTAATTTGTGACAAAATATCGCTACAATCAATAAAATTGTGCATGAGTTTAAATAGAAAAATAAGCGAGGATGTGTTCCTTCTTAGGCTCAGGCTATTAATATCAAATTGTTTACACAACTCCGTATAATCACAACCACGTTCGGGATATACTCCATCAATTTTGAAAACTAGGTATTTTAAAAATTTTCTTTGAACCCGTTCTATATCCAGAACGTAGCAGTTGTAATAAGGGTTCCAGATCAGACTACAATATTCCAGCTTAGAACGCACGTGGGTACTAAATAATAATTTAAGGGGTGCTATATTTGAAAATTGCCTGCAGTTTCTAATAATGAATCCATACATTCTAAAAGCTTCGGAAACTTCAACTTGAATATGATTTGAGAAGGTTAATTTAGCATCAAAAATTACACCTAAGTCCCTAATAGTAGAACATCTCTCCAACTCATTATCTCCAATCGAATATGAGAATTGAATATTTTCTCTTTTCCTAGAGTAAGTAACTATCTTACATTTTTGAGCATTTAGGTGTAACATATTTGTCTTACACCAGTTATTAATACAGTTCAAATTTGTCTGGAGCTCATTGCAGTGATCTGTATTTTTAATACTCAAGAAAATCTTTAAATCATCCGCAAAACACAATTTATTACAACTAATTTCATTGTATAAATAATTAATAAATATTAAAAATAGTAAAGGTCCAAGATTTGAACCCTGTGGTACTCCAGATGTAACCGCAATTGATTCTGATTTAAATCCATTGTAAGTAACGAATTGTGTCCTATTTGATAAATATGACTTAAATAAAGCTAAAGTGCTGTTAGAAAAACCAGTCTTTGAAAGTTTTGAAATTAAGAAGCTATGCTTAACTCTATCAAATGCCTTCGAGAAATCGGTATATATCACATCCACCTGTCCTTGGTCATCTAATACATCCGCAATAAATTGTGTAATCACAGTTAAATTTGTTACCGTTGACCGTTTGTCTATAAACCCATGCTGATATGGTGAAATGTAACTTCGGACAAATGGATATATACGATTATACAAAACGACCTCGAAGATCTTCGAACAGTTGCACAATAGTGACACCGGCCTATAGTTTCCTACCTCAGACTTTGTCCCGCTTTTAAATATTGGGCATATTCTAGCTTCTTTCCATAGTTTAGGATATTTCCTTGTCTTTACCGATAAATTAAAAATTTTTAAAAGAGGCTGTGTTAAAATTCTGGAACAATCCTTAATTAAGAAGGACGGTATGTTGTCTGGACCCGATGTCATCTTATTTTTAAGTTTACCAGCAGCCACATCGATTTCTTTTTCACAAAATGCTGCCATATTTATTGTCATGGGTTGCGTACTAATATTTCCTACTAGTTCATCAGGATTATCGGAATCCGAAGGTAAGTATACCCTTTCAAAAAATGATTTGAATGCATTAACTATACCTTGCGGATCACTGAAAACAGTCCCATCTAAACTCATTTCACCTGGTATTCTCGAAGATTTGTTTTTTGAATGTATATAAGACCAAAATTTTTCAGAATTATTTGAAATACTTAACTGAACATCTTCCAAATAATTATCGTAGGATATTTTAATTTCCTGTTTAATTAGTGTTCTAAGCCGTTTTAATTCGAGCAAATCTACATGTAGCCCTATTTTTTTATACTTCCGATGATATCTTTCTTTCAGTTTTATATATTTAATAATGTCTGAATCAAACCATGTTGGATATTTATGTTTATAATTTCTGTAAGTTGGAATGTGTTTATCAAACACAAGATATATTTTATCATGTGATACCTCATTTGAAAGATATTTTCTTTATTTTTACGTTCATGTAAACAGATATAGGTTTTTATATTTTGTAACGTGATCTTGTTATTTTATCTATTTTTATAGTGTTTTAAGCTCTTATGATTTTGGGGAGCGGGTTAGGTTATTAAACAACTCGTATTTCTTTGAAAAGGAATGTTGAGCGCCACTATATTTAAAACTTACTAAACTTGAATATCGATTAGTGATGAAAATATAGAAAATCACTAACCATTAAGATATTATAAATAAATAAGGTTTCAGATAAGGTAGCGACAAATTCTAATTCACAGAGACTTACTTATTCAAATTTAAATGATTTATTCAAGACTTATCTGTTAAATAATAGGTAGTATTTAAGGAGAGACTTGTAGAGGTCTTCTTCAAGGGGATTCGTATGATATACTTCGGATATCACCAACTCTTAAGTATAAATCTTCAAAGGTAAACTTAAATCTCATAAACTTCTTTAGATGACTCGAACTAAACCTCTTGATATACTTGAAATAAACTTCTGTAGCTGGAACTAAACTTCTAAGTTTCTATACTTCTAAACATCAAAACATGCAGCTTGAACTTTCTTCTAAACTTCTAAACAATCTCTTTAGATATAACTCCTACAGAACCATCTAGATACAGCCAGGCTTTTTAAAAATCAAAAATATTAAAGACAATTAGTACGTCGGATGTCCAAGATAAAAGATAATTAAAAATTCAAATCAACTTGCTTGTTGATAGAGACGAATCGAAATAACAATCCAAGTTTTGACACAAGGCATAAACGACAAATGACGTTAGGGTAGAGATGTTTGCGTCAAAATAACGAAAACGGTTCCAACCGTTACAATGTCTGGGTCTAAATAACGAAAACGGTTTCAACCGTTACAATTTTTACAGAAATTACATTAAAAAAATTTATAAAGTAGGTTAAATTCTTTTTTTTATTTACCGCTTCAATCTCAAAGGATCATTACCGGAGGTATAATAACTTATAAATGCTGTGTTTTACAATAGTAAATGTCAGTATCTTTTATAAATTTAAGTAATTTTTTACTGTTAGAGGAATTTAACACTGCACAAATGGCAATTTTTGTAGCTGGTACTTTGTTCTTTTACAGACATGTTCTGGGCCTTTATTAATAAGTTATATTCTTGATAACTCTTGTATTAACAATTATTATTTAATACTAAGGAAACGCTTCTTGTATTTACTAAAATAAATAAATTAAGAATATCAAAGGTGATTTAAAAACCATTTGACGTATTAAATTTTTCATAACTTCTTGGCAAAGAAAAGCTAATTAAAAAATTATCTTCTAACATGATCTAACATTTCTAGGATTATTACGGCACACGAGGATTATCAAGAATGTAATTTTTGTAAAAACAAAAAAAAATAAAACTGTGTTCTTGGACGTAAATATAATATTATCTTTCAAATGAGGTATTACATGACTTTACTTTCCATTAGAAAATTTAAAGATAGTAATGCCTTCTATTTTACTACGTCTCAAGTAAAGTGCATCTCATTATAACAAAACTATCATAATGTTTCTCTAATTTCACATCGTTTTTGTTTTATGTCTCTATCTTCTTGCATTTTAAAAACATACTACAAAATGCTTTCATTTGACATCGAAGAATTGTATTAGAAAAATTCTAACTTCCAATTTAACCTCTTCTCCCCTCCCCAACTGACTTAAAAGACAAAGTATTTTCGTTTCTGGGCCACTTATTACTTCAAATTTCAATTGTAAAACGACTGTGAGAGACGGACAGACAAAGAGACATAAGTGTTTCTTATTGCCAAATTTGGGTAATAATGCGCAAATTACTTGAAACATTCTTTGTTTTTGTCTTACAAATTTTATCGTTTTTTCATGTTTCGTCTTTTTCAAATTTAAATTTGATATTGTTTTATCGCGAGAGAAACGAGACGAGACAAGACAAGGGAAAGGCTCTCTCGAGCGAGAGAAACGCCTTCTCGTCGAGACGAGAGAACAGTTTTCTCTCGCCCTACGAGACGAGACGAGAGAGGCCACTCTCTCGTCTCGTCTTGTCTAGCGGCATCACTATAAGTTATATACAAAAATGTTAAATATTCACTATTAGAAATGTGCAATATTTTATAGTCTGTTTATAATTAAAGAATACATGCTTAAAATCAATACCACATTAAATGTTTACTGTTATATTAAATACAGGCGTGACTAGTTTACGCCGCACAGGGCCATCTTACTTAAAACCCTAAATAAAAATAGTAAAAACATAGAATATATGGTAACTTACGATTCAATAATTTTTTATCAGATTGTGTGAAATAAGTAACAAGAATCCATATTGTAAAAAGTTACTATAGTATAGAGTTAAAAATTATGACAATCGAACTATCAAATGAAATGTTTCTATTTAAAAAAAAACCCGAGGAAACGGAATAAACGAAAGTTTTAATGTGATCAGTGAGGACCAAGTTGCAAATAGTATATTTGGGCTATTAGGAACGGCCAAAGCAGACGAATGATCAGAAGCGGTAGAAAATGAAGCCTTGTATGCCTAAGATCCGGATATTAAAGAAAACTAGCTCTTTTATATGGTAGGAGGAATGAAATGTCGAAGTAGAATAAACTCGACAAAATTTCATTTTTGAAAATTGAAGTAGGTAAAAATCTATGACGGTTTACTACAAATTCAGAAAGGTGAGTTTGCCTTTCAATTCTAAAAAAAAAAACAGTGCCTTCTGACGGAGGAAACCTTAAAATAAATATCTTCAAGTGGAGATTGAAAGAGTAGCCAAAAATAAAGGGTGTTCTATTGCTTATTATGGGTAGATTATACAATTTGTAACTCAACACTACAGTAACATTGTTAGAATATAGACCTGTGTTACTTTATTTCACATGAAATTTATTAACAGTTTATTTAATTGTAAGTTACCAAATGTCTTCTATACTTGTTTCCTATTTCAATTTAAGGTTTTATGTATTACAGACCTTTGATGCCAAAATTAGTCTCACCTGTCATTAAAATATATATCACTACATCAGAGGTAAACATCTTAAGGTTGATGGATACTTAGGTCAAAAATTCTATTTGGTCGATTTTCATCTTCTTCCACTTCAGCTAGATCATTCAAAATATGAATATAAATAAGAGCTTCGTGCAAATCCATTTTAATTAAAAAAAAGTTACGTTTTGATAGCGCACGACAATGACAGTTCTCCCAATGTTCTCCCGAAATGATGCTCTTCTACTGGTTTTGACTAAGAGAAGTATGTTCTCTCGATTTTCATGCGAAGTGATCATTCACTTCAATTCAAGAATACCACTCACACTTTTTAAGAGAACGGCTGTCCAGTTCGCATGAAATAATCATTCTCTCAACTGGAGAATAGGCCCCCAGGTATTAGGACGAGTGTGTAAACTATGTAGATATGTTTCATCCGTATAAATTATGTTTCTACCTTCTTCACGATATATTTTCATTTGTTGTAAATATTTCACCCTTTTTAATCTGATATCATAACTCTCCATCAACATTTTTCTTTTGTCCGGGGTTTTTTCCCAACCGAAACCTAATTCTTTAACAATTTTTTGGAATGTTGAGAGGCACTTTTCAAACCCTACTTGAGCATCCTGTGCTTTTTTAAAAACTGCAAGTATGCTAGGTCGTTGATTATCAATTACACAAAAATAATTTATTATCTGCTTAATTCTTTCACCCTAGCCTTGTGAAATATTACTCTTCGTTTTAGCTTGTCCCAAACGACTTTTTGGAAAAAAAAAAGGTATACTACCTGAATCAAGTATTTCTAGACATTTCCGTTGCTGCTAAAACACGAACTCTACATTCATGCAGTGGTATTTGAACCCCATTTTTGACCTCATTTTTCATGAATTTAATCACATTAGATATGATTTCTTTTCCTTGACTGTGAATGGCGTATCTTTAGGCATTTTGGTTAATTGAACTCAGCAAAAAAAACACTGGAAAAACAATTCTAACCTAACTTTACCTTAAATTTAACTTAATTTTACCCTTACTTACTTTATGTCATGACACTGGCAGATAAACATTAGTGCGAAATTATAGAAGTAATCCGACGGGATTTGACGTTTACCCCCTCTTTACCTATCGAAAGCATTTCCAACTTCTACCTGTGCTATAATAGAAGCCAACTCGCCTTTTCGGAACCTACATCAGGTTTTATTCCAACCGTGCGGAGTTGTGTCATTATCAACAGAGCAGCCTCCTGATGTAAATAAAGGAGATTGGACTAATAATGACTTTTAGAACTCTGGTTGGTGTGGTTTCATGGCTCCTCTTAAGTTGTAACATGCTGTTATTTGTATTAATTCTACTATGCAAATAGTAATTTTTGTTGTTGGGTTTTGGTATCCAGACAATTGCATCATCATATGTTAATATGTTAGTAGAGGTCTTATGATGATCATGTAAGTCCATGTAACGACTGTAGGAGAAAGATTCCAGGTGCGCCCCACGGTTTGGAGCTTATGGTAACTTTATTTCTTCTTTAGTATTTGTTTGTAAAATAGCGAATTTTTAAATGTTTTCAAGTTAGAATTTTTTCAAGCAGCCAATACAAGTTCCAAGTTCTCCAAGTTTTCTTTTAAAATAAGTTAACGTCAGATTCTTTGAAAATTTTGCATAACATGAATCTAACAAAGCTCTAATAGGTATGATGATTGTGTTTGTTGGTGAAGTTAACACGACAAGAGTTATCTACATTCAACTTAATGCGCCAATGAAATGTTAGAACTTTTTTGCATAGCTGAAATCTGTTAGTGATAATGTGATCCAAGAGACAAGAAACAACTTTAAATTCTTCGGTAACCCATATTTTAAAAGAAGTTTCGTTGTATTCTTGAGGATTTTAATTTTTGTTTCATTGATTCTGTTAAAGATAAATGTGATATTTTTTATATACATTTTACTTATATAACGACATATTACTAAGTATATCTAAATGTTATCCATAAAAATTAATTTTGTTAAGGTTTGCCAAGAGGAAATTACAGATCAGGTTAAGTGGCCCACAACACCCGTAAATTCGTGCTCAACTTCAGAACCACTATGCATAAACAACTTTGAAATAACCGAAAAATGTTGCGTTAGTAATGAGACCTGGTGGAAAAATAACCCAACTTGTTGTGATATACAGGAACATATAAAAAGCCCGTGTCCCAAAGACTCGTTCCAAAAGGATAATATTTGCATTTTTGTTAGAGAAACAACCTACCCTCCAAGGTGTCCTTATGAAGAAATTTTAGCTTTTGACAGCTACATTCAGTATATTGATGCTATATTTCCCATATGGTTACCGGTTGAAAAAGACAAAGGAGAACTATATGGTGAAGGTAAGCCATATAATAATATATTGCTTAACTAAATGAGCTTATTTTTCTACGACTATAATACAAAATAATATAAGAAATTAAATAGTACATTTGACATTCAGTAAAATATTTACATTCTTTCTAATATTTTACCTCGGATATTTCTGGTATTAATTTGGTTAATTATACTCTTATAATTTAGAACTTCCTTACAGGTACGTCGTTTGTTCTTTTAATTATATTTGATGTTTACAGAATTATTTAGTTTTATTTTTCTTTTTATAAAAACATTATTTAAAAAAAATTATTTTCAATTTATATAAATTTATTTACCTACAAAATGACAAACAATATAGGTAATATACATTTTAAACAATAACGGGCTTCCTAAATGCTTTTAACTAATCAAAAAAATACAAACAATCAAATATTTTATAAATTTAAGTATAACACTAAACTAAAAAAAAATATATAAAACTTTTGACAACTTTGGAGTCCATCTTACCGTATTTTTTATTTGATCCATATTAAATCCCCTTCTATAAATTGCTGAGGAAGTTGCGTGTGTAGTACTATAGCATGGCATGGCATGGCAATTTATTATGTGTTAATCAAAAATTAATTTTCTTACAAGTTCATGTTGAGAAGGCAGTAATATAGGAAACTTGAAATCTAAGTCATCTCCATAAATTAACCTAGTTTTTGTTCTTATAATGCTTTTGTTATCTACGAACATTTCTAATCCTTTTATATTCTCATTTTCTTTAAAAAATTCTAACTGGATAATTTAGAAAAGTAACTAAAATCTTTTGAAATAGTATTATGTACATGTACTAGAGAGCTTACTGTTTCGCTCTGTCTTTTCAAATATATCTCTTTATTGGAGTAGTCAATGTTAAAACATGGCCAACTTTTAACATCATCACTTAGCCATTGTAGACCTTGCCACCATTTACTCTCTAGCAGAGATTTGCAACTACATCCTCTTGAAGTTAAATCAGCAGGGTTTAATTTGGTAGGGATGTACCGCTATTTGTCTACATTTTAATCTCTGTTACCCTGTTCTGTACAAATGTTTTCCATGGTCCTTTGGACTGTAACCAACCTAATACTACCATTGAATCGGTCCAGTAAAACATTTCCAAAGTACCAATGTCTTTAACCTTTTTAATACTTTCGCATAACCTATCAAACTTGCTAAGAGTTCTTAACGAGGAATTGTTATATTTTTTGGTGCAATCCTTGACTTTTTTTGAATTAGTTGTATCATCACAGATTGACCAAAATTAACTATCAAAAATATGCAATAGCCATAAGCTATTTGACTACTATCGGAAAAAACATGAAGAGTTGCTTTATCTAACTGAAATGGGTCTAGGTATTGAACAGTAACGTAAAAAATGAATTTGTTTTAACCATTTTTCAAATTTATTGAATATATATTTTGGTAAAATATTATCCCAACCAAGTTTTAATTGCCCATGTTACCTGTAATAATAATTTTTGTTGAATTGTAACTGGACAAGTGAATCCAATAGGATCGAATAATCTTTGAGCAACTGACAATAGACCTCTTTTGGTTCGTGGTGTATGTTCAAGTCCATTAAGTGTATTGATATCAAAAATTAAATTATCATTCCTAAGAATTTACCAAACTTTTCCTCTGGAGTATCAGTAAAAACCAATTCTCTAAGACTAAGATTACCGAGCCCCATCAGTAAAAGGAATCCTTTAACTTACTTGCAGTATTTTTTAAATGAACCGGAACTTTACCTAAGTGATCATTAATAGTGGCTGCTAACAAAAATGGACTTGACTTTACCCCAAAAACAACACGACAATGTCTATATTTTTTTATTTTGCTCCTCGTAGTATGCCACCAAAAAAATCTTAAAAAACCCCTAACTTAAAAGGAGATACTGATTTGCAGGAAAGCCTTTTCTATAACTGCGGTAATTCCATAAATACCTAACCTAAATTTTGGAATTAGTTCAACTAAATTTGGTCCTGCTTCAAGACACCTTTTTAAAGTTACCTAATTGATCTTTTGCTGATGCATCAAAAACAGGACGTACTTTGATGGTTGTTACTGGCCTCTTTTATAACAGCATGATGTGGTAGAAAGTGTATAGATTAGTTACCTGTAGTACCTTCACTTACTTCTTCTATTATTCCTATTTTCTCCCATTCTAAAAATACGTTTTGATAGTCTGACAGCTTCTTGAGACTGACTAGTCTTTTACTTGTTGAGGAAAGACGCAACAATGCTATTTGTTCGTTGTTTAACACACCTGAAAAATCTTCTCTTTAAGGAAGTTTAATTTCATATCGACCTTTGGGATTAATTTAATGTTTCTTCCTCCATCTTTTGTTTGGCTTTAACCTCTGCTGGATTTGTTAACCCTTATAACTTCTAAATTCCACAGATTTATAATAGAAAGATGAGAAAGACCACAAAATATGTTTTTACATCAAATGTCCTTATATTGGCCCATAATGGTCCATCCCAAACAAGTTTCTATATCCACCAGCCCATTTTGTAAATTTTCAATATTTCCAGTTAAAAAATGACCAAATAGATCAGCACCTAGCAATAACTCTACTTCTGGTGATGAATGCGGATGTAAGGCTTCAATCAGTTAAAATTATACTTTTCCTTTTAAGTTTATTAATTAGTGATATATCTGTTAATCGAGGAATGAAATTGCATATCTTGTGTTGATCTAGAACGTCTAACTTGAATTCAGAATTATTCTGTAAATTCTGGAAAACAATCTCATACTTATTGTGCAATTTTGGGGACATTTGAAGTCCGCCAAACACATCTTGAATAACATCTTCTCTACCTACTCTGATGTAATCTAATTCCTTTGCACAATTACTTAATATGTATGATTTCTGAGATCCTGCATCTAATAATGCACATACAACTTTAACAGTATTTTTATTCGGGTTTATTATTTTTACCAACATAGTCTGAAGCAATGTATAGCTTTGGGTAATATTATTTGAAAACAGTGAGTTTTCTAAACTAGTATTATCTTTTTGTACTTTAGAGTAGATTCTCTTTTAGTAACCAAATCTGGACACAAAATTGGAAAATGTTTTCTAGAATAGACTAAACATTTAACAAATGTTTTACAATTACGGACAGAATGGTTAGTTTTCAGACACGCAAAACAACTCAGTTTATTATTTTTGTCTTCCTTTCCTCTACCGTAATTTGTTGTGCTTTGATGCAATCCTGATTTGCGTGATTACGGCTACAAAATAGACAAATTGAACTTTTCTTACCACTATCCTGATTCTTTATATCTTCAGAGAATAATGTTGCGGCTGTACTTACCTCTTTCTCGAGTCCTTGCTTTATGCCGCTAGTGGTATTGAAATGGGAACAATTTGTCTTTTTTCTGTTGCAAAACCTGCTTGAGCTCTTTTAATTCTTTCTTCAGAGTCGACTTCACTTCGGAGAAAATTTAATGACATTTGCAAAGGGTTATTAAAATCGGAATAAAATTTACCTTTACCCTCATCTATGTTGTATTGACAACTACTATTGCGATGTCTTTCCCATGCTTTTAAGATTTCTTTAGGCAGAGCAGACTCCACTAACGGAAATAACATAGCTGCATATTTGTCACTTGTAACACCCAATGATTCTAGAGATTTTAACTGCGTTTCTAAGTTGTCATAAAGATAGGTTAGTGACATACTTGAATGCGCATTATTTTTTTGAAGAACGAGATTAAGTAGTTCACGGACATATACCTCGATAAGAATCTCATCTCTGTCAAAACGTGCCATTAGTTTATCTATCGCCTTATAATAATTTTCTTTTTTTGGTGGATATCCTTCTATAAATTGTCTTGGATTAGAGCCTTGTTTCATGGAACTCATCAGGTGATAAAATTTATCTTCTACGTCAATATCGCAGTCTCCATGGATTTTTTAAACTGTCCCCAAAAACCAATCCAGTTTTTTACATCACCATTTAATTCTATTTTGGGTAAGATAAATCGTTCCCATTGTACTACAAAGGAACAGGAAACTTTAATTCCATATGTGTCGCATATTTAAAACATGTATAGCCTGGCGACATATACCAAAGGCGTGGCAAAAGATGAAAGTCATATACCTTCCTCAATTGGGAAGGTTTAATGATATGACACCAAAGTCGTACCGCCCAATCAGTCTATCGTCATTCATGCTGAAAACGCTAGAAAGACTAATAGATAGATATATGCGAGACGAAATACTGAGAGAAAACCCTCTTAGCGACCGTCAATATGCATATCAGCCAGGCAAGTCAACTGATTTGGCCCTGAATGATCTCAATAGGCTACTGTCAAAATCCCTGAAGGATAAAGAAATGGCAGTAGCCACTTTCGTAGATATTAAAGGAGCTTATAGTAATGCCCAAACAAGATCTATAATTAACGCCCTAACAATGAAAGGGGTACCAGTAGTCCTATGTCAGTGGATAAAAGCCAGCCTAGAAGAAAGGGTAATAACATCATCTCTAGGCGGAACTACACTGACAGCTAAAGCAGGCAGGGACTGTGCCCAAGGAGGAGTACTATCACCCCTCCTCTGGTTAGTCCTAGTGGACGAACTCATAAAAAGGCTAACATCTGCACATTTCTACCGCCTAGGGTATGCCGATGACCTGGCGATCGTCGTAAGAGGCAAGTTCGCAGGTACAATATCGGAGCACACACAAACCGCTCTAAACATTGTTGACGAGTGGTTCAGAGAGGAGGAACTAACAGTAAACCCTCACAAAACCACAATAGTCAACTTTACAAAACGAAAAGTAACAACATGACTAAAGTCACCAGTACTGAAAGGAGTGAAGATTCCATTTGCCCAAGAGGCCAAATACTTGAGAGTCATCTTTGACCACAGGTTAAAATGGAATCAACACTTTCAAAAAGTCACCCAAAAGAGCACAACATCCTTCAACTTATGTCGAAGATCGTGTGGAAAAAATTTGGGTCTACAACCGAAAATGTCCCTATGGTTATATACCAGTCATAAGTCCGATGATAACCTACGTGTCGGTGGCCAAAGACTCGGCAAGCTGGAGCCATTCGACAGCTCAATGGTATTCAAAGGCAAGCATGCCTGAGTACCACGGGAGCTATAAGAACGACTCCAACATCAGCTATAAACCTACCACCACTACATATATTCATTCAAGGCGAAGCCAGGTCTGTCACATACAGACTGCATAAAGGTTCATCACCCATAAGCAGTTTGCAGCGAGCTATATGTTGGAGAATGACCAAATAATGGGAATGCCTTCAGATGAAATGCTCCCAAAGTATAGCTTTCAAAAGCAATATAAAGTAAGTATACCAGACAGGAAGGCGTGGACGGGAGGACCTCCTATTCATGCAGAATTCACCTGGTATACAGACGGCTCCAAAACCGATGAAGGTTCAGGAGTAGGTATATATAGTACCAAGCCAAAGACAAGAATCTCACTGAGCTTAGGTAAACATGCGACAGTATTCCAGGCAGAAATTGCAGCAATACATCACTGCGCAAAAGAGGTATTAAGACAGAAGGTAAATGGAAAAACCATTGTCATAGATAGTCAAGCGACGTTAAAGGCACTTAGTTCCATGCAGGTACACTCAAAGCTTGTGTGGGACTACCCAGCCCTAACAGAGCTGGGTAGTCAAAACAGACTAACCTTAGCCTTGGTACCAGGCCACAGAGGACATAAGGGCAATGAAGAGGCTGATTTACTAGCCCGAGAAGGAACCTCAAATGCTCTTATTGGCCCAGAACCCTTCTGTGGTGTAACAAAAACAACTATCAGAACATGCACAAAGCAGTGGATGTTCAAAAAATCTCAGGAGTGGTGGAAAAACTCTCCAGGACAGAGACAGGCCAAAGAATTCTTAAAAGAACCATTTCCTGAACTCACCGAGCATCTACTAAGCCTTAACAGGAAAAATACTAGAGTACTAGTAGGTCTATTAACAGGGCATTGTAAGCTTAACAAACATGTGTATAATATCGGTCTGACAGAAGAGATTCTGTCAGGAAGAAGAGGAAACGGTAGTACACGTATTGTGCTACTGCGAAGGTCTAGCAAGACTGAGATTCCTTACACTTGGAGAAGAAAAACCAAAGGCAACTAGCTATACCGAAGAACTACTTCCCAGTCTATGGAGTCTACTACAAAAGACCGAATTAGACAAGGTATTCTAAATAACGATTCAAAGATATCCACAATAGATCTGAAAAGGTCGAGGTGGGGGAGGCCACATGTCTCACAGTCCTAATTAAATCTAATAAAAAAGGGTAAATCGTTTTTTTTTTCTCTCATCTCTGAACTAAAACTCTGAATATCTTCTTTTTTCTTCTCCAAGGCACGTTGACATTTTATCCTATAGTGTATATGTTTAGACCTGTATTCTTCAGCTTCTTTTAATTCGTGCTTTATTTCTTCAGTGGTTATCTTTTCATAGGAGTACATAGCATCTTTAATGTTCGTGTCTAAATTGCATTACCTTTCTCCTTGGTCCTATATTATGCTTATTAGAACCTGCACGTGAAAATCATCAATTAAATCATCTTTTAGTGCGGATTCGATTTCTGAAATTTATTCCTTAAAGGCTTCTCTTAACTCTCCTCTTTCTACCTTCAAGTTCTCCATCGTAGGTCCTGTCACGTCGCCACAAATGTTGATAATAAATGAAGATGGAGAATGTAAAAAATAATATTTCAGAAAAAATAGTTTTATTCAATAGTCTTTTAAAATTGACAAAATTACTAGATCAACGATATGATTTCTAAGATTCCTAACAGTGAGTTTGTTATGAGCTAGCCAATTTGAAATTTTTAAAAAGTTATTTTCTATTTTTGGTTTTAGATTTTGCCAAGTGGAAGATTTGTACAGAATAATAGTATCATGGACAAATCTCAAAATCTCACCAATTGAGTTGTTCTAACATACTGTTGATGTATAAATACTTTTGATGGCAAACCAAAAATTGCGAATTAAATTTATAATTAATAATGAATTATTATGGAAATAATTTTATATTTTTGTTTTTATTTTCAGGCCTATTTTATTGGACAGAAAATTCTCAAAATTATAAAACATCTTACGCTAAACAATTTTACTACCAGGATTTACTGCAAGACAAAAATTGTCTTCTTTTTCACAATGAAAGTTATACTGAAGCCGTTGCCTGCACAGAAACGCACCCAGCCATATGCGCTTACGAAATCCTTAGCCAAAAAACTAAGAGCTTTTGCTCGCAAGTCTTTAATTCCTCATGCAAACAAAGTGATTACTCAACAAAATCAAAATGTTTTTGCCAAATAAATCGAACAGAAAAAGAAATAAACCGAATCGAATTATTAATACCATATCAAAACTTGCTATATACCTCTTTGGACGAAATTTGTTACATAGGTTTAGAGAAAAAAGGCGATTCATATATATGGTCAAACTCTAACTTACCAATCACTTACACTTATTGGTCAACCAATTCCAAATTTGGAAAAGAATATTTATTTGGAGCTATGTCTTCAGATGGTTGGCTACTAAAATCGACCGAAGATGAAGAAAGTTGCACTTTAATTCAAAAATCTCTTCCAGATGTAGTTAATGAAATATCTTTAACGTTATCACTAAAAAATGAAACAACTTTATATGCGGTATCTGAAGAATTACCATATTGGAAACAAGATGAAATCAGTTCGGATCCAATGATATTTTGCTTTACAGACGCTTCCAGTGACACGATAATACAAAAAATTGATACACAAATAAATGTTGTTGAAAATAAACTAGAAGTTGAATTTTCATTGTTAAATGATGCACCCGGAAATTATTGGTGTGAAGGCTTTTTGTATCCTGAATTGAACGTAAAGAAATCAAATATTTTCCACAAAGAGTAAGTATTTTTATATTTCTTTATTTATGTTTGTTACTACTTCTATCAGTTACTCTGTATTTTTATTGGAAAAAGAGTCCATAATCGATCTTTCCACCGTATATTAAAATGCTGATGCTTTGTTAAAGCAAAATTTTAGCATGGCTGGTATTCTAAAAATAAGTAGAAATCGAATGGACGAATTACCAAAGGTCACACAAACAATATTGGAATTAATACCCTTAGAATTTTTATCTTGTGCTACAGTTGTTCCAACAAGGGGAATCAAACAATATTAGGATGTATTTAAGGTCCACTTAACATTTTTTTACGATTAAACAATAGTAAACATAAAAAACACTTCTTAAATGATGGGTCATCAATCCATACAAATTACCGGAACCAGATGGGGTACTGCCTGTGCTTTTGCAACAGGCGATAGAAACGCTGGCCCCGCATATTTGTAGGCTCTACAGGACAAGTTTTGTGCATAAATATGTACCAAATAACTGGAAACAAAGCAGTGTAAGGGGTTTTCTCGCCTCAGAGAAAACGATTACTCACAAATGACGCCTGTTGACGGGACGGCTCTCGGGCGCCAGATTTTATGTGTGGTTTATTCCACAAACTTTCGAAACGGCGTCGAAAGTACTCGGGCAGCACAGATGGAGATGAAAAATTTCAGGGGTCGTTGGTCACTCAGACACAGGTAATAAGTAACCACAAGTAACGGGCTTTAATCGTTACTTATGGTGATAAAGAATTTCTCACTGCTGAAATAAAGGGGGAAGTAAATTAGGGATCAGTAACCTCAGTAATAGTCAAGGTAACGTTGACACATATATTGAATTTAACAATTTACAATAAATAATTTGTAAGTAATATTTCAACGCCCACCCTCGTTCGTATTTTTAAAACCCTGAACAAAAAGAAAAACAAACAGATCGGCCAGTAGTGAACTTTGATTAGTCTCAATCAGACGGTATAATTAAAATTAAAAGAAAGATGCTCGGTGGCAATAGTAACTAATTAATATATTGTCGGTTCGGTGGTTGAGCCAAAACGAAACCAAAAACAAAATTACTATTTCAGTTAAAGAAGAAAAATGGCATAATTGCGGTCGTAGCAAAAGTTAGATAGCTAACTGTTAAATCGGCAAAAATATTGAAGTTAAATATTTTGTTTCGTAAAAGCAGAAATAAAATCATGGTCGTAGAAAAAGTTATCTAGTTAACTATCTAGTCGGTATTGAAACTGAAACAAACCTCCTTGTGTTAGTGAATAGGGAATAGATAAATGTGGTAAGAAAACGGGATAGTATCAATCCTATGAGGAGTGTACTCGCCAAAACCAGCCCGCTCAACATAAAAATAATACTATCATTTTAATCACGGGGCGGAGGTAACTAAAAAAAAATAATCAAAAACCGGGTTAGTATTTATCCTATGATGAGTGTACTCGCCAAAACCAGCCCTCTCAAACATAAGAAAAACACTAATATGTTAATCACGGCTAGGGGTTAATCTAAAAAAATCTAATACCGGGATAGTATCTAATCCCATGTGAGCTTTTTCGCCAAAACCAGTCCACTCAACATGAAAAATGATACTATTTCAACTTTCCAAGTTTCGAACTAATTCTATTCCCAAGTAAAGAAACATAAATGTAAAAAAAAAGTTAAACCAGATTGTGAATAAATAGAAACAAAATTTATGGTCGTAGTAAAAGTTAAGTAATTAACTATATACGGAATTTAATTTAAATTTAAATTTATTATTACTTAAAAATAGAAACAACATCCACGGTCGCAATGAAAATTAAGTAATTAACTGTATACGGAATTTAATTTGAAATTAGGTTTACTATTACTCTAAAATAGCAACACAATCCACGGTCGCAATAAAAATTAAGTAATTAATAAAATAGAAACAAAATTTCTACTTCCTAATAACCAAAACTAATTTCCAATGTTTCTAAATAAAATCAAAACTAAATAATTTATCTGAAAATCAAAATATTTTTAACAAAAATATAAAGTCAATTATTATTTCTATTAAATAAAATCGAAAACGGAATAATTTAATCAAATAAAACTGGTATTCGAACGTTTAGCTCAAGAACCGACGACAGAAAAAAAAATCTGATGTGTCCAACACATGACTTTCCTATCTAGTTATATAAATATTTAGAGGATAAACTAAATATATACATTGTCCACATATATCTACCTCGAAACATTTTTCTATAGATATTCATGGAAAACGAAAATACTGAAAAATTTTAATTTCCTACAATTTTTTCATTACGGTCCATTTTAGAAAAATCATGTATAAACAAAAATTATAGAGATCGATATCGCAAACAACTTTTATTTCAAAAACTTTCATAATAAAAATCAGAATTTTGCACATTTTGTCAAATTTCTCGAATACGGGCCGTTTCAGGAAATTTTTACATCAAACAAAAATTACAGATAATAATATTAGAAGTAACTTTTATTTGAACAATTTTCCTCTCCAAACATAAATAACAGATATATTCCATAAAATATAAAAACGGCCTCCCATAAAGTACCCCCCCAGATGTTCCGACTTTGTCCAAAATCTAATCATTTCACGTCAGGCCGAAATAAACCTTAAGTTTAAAATTTAATGTTTTTTCTTTATCCGTTTTTGAATTGTCTTCAAAATTCGAAATTTACACATTTTCTCAAATATCTCGAATACGGTCCATTTTAGAGAAATTATGTAAAAAATAAAAATTATAGAGAATTATATTACAAACAACTTTTATTTGAACAATTTTTATAAAAAAATATTTTTTTTACATTTTGTCAAATTTCTCGAATACGGACCATTTTAGGAAAATTTTGTATGGAACAATAATTATAGACAATAATATTAGAAGTAACTTTTATTTAAAGAATTTTCTTCTTCAAACGTAAATAACAGATATATTCCATAAAATATAAAAATGACCACCTATAAAGTACCCCCCCAAATGTTCCGACTCTGCCCAAAATCTAATCAGCTCATTAGACGCTGAAACAAAGCTTAAGTTTAAAATTTGGTGTTTTTCTGTGTATCGGTTCATGAGTTATGCGTTATACAGACACACACACACACACACACACACACACACACACAGACACACAGACACACACACACACACACACACACAGACATCATCGCGAAAATAGTCAAAACGGATTCAGGGGACCTCAAAACGTAAAAATCCGTCGAAAACTCGAGGTCGAAAAAAATCATGATTCCTATACTTTCCTTATATCTGTATACAGATAGGAAAGTAAAAACGTAAACATGAATTCGGTGTACCTAACTACGGTCTCGGCAATGATTTTAAGGCGTATAACGAAGCAGACTTAACGAGGTCGCAAAAATGAAATCAAGCTAGTCGAATGATTTTAAATGAATGATTTTAATACGCATGCTGAATCCCAGTCTCTATGCCCAAGCAGGCTGGCCCCCACTCGGTGTGCGCGGATCGCGCGCGCTATCTTTACTCAGGTATAATACGCGAATTTAAATGAAACAAAATTTGATATACATGGTATACCCATGAAGATAAAATAAAATAAAAATTTAAATTTATATCCGGAATAGGCCGAAATATAGTAATGAAAATTGACTTCATTACAGCAGAGTTGTCTTCATACCTAAACTTGGGCGTCCAATGTATGCCGTGGCAAAGGCCTATAGACCAATAACTCTGACGTCATTTCTATTGAAAGGATTGGAAAAACTGATTGATCAGCATGTCTGGTAAACCACTCTGATAGAGAGGCCATTTTATACAAACCAACATGCCTATCAATCAGGAAAATATTGTGAGTCTGCTCTGCATCATCTTGTAACCAAGATAGAGGGAGGACTCAGTAGCCAAGAAATAGTTCTAGGAGCATTTCTTGACAGAGAAGGAGCTTTTGATAATACTTCCTTTAAATCAATGGTAGCTGCTGCTCGCAAACATGGAATAGAAGACACTATCTGCTGGTGGATAGAAGACATGTTATGCGGACGGCAAGTACAGGCACAAATGTTCAGTGAAACCATGCAGGTGAATATCCACAGGGGATGTCTACAGGGTGGAGTTATTTCTTCTCTACTGTGGAATCTAATGGCAGATGAACTGCTGAAAACACTAAACAATCAAGTGTTGTACGCCCAAGGATATGCCGATGACGTAGTTATCCTTATCCGAGGGAAACACCAAACCACAGTCTTTGAACTCATGCAAAGAGCTCTTAGGCTGACAAAAATGAGGTACGTTAGGGAAAACCTCTTGGTAAACCCTGACAAGGCACAACTCATAACCTTTATTCGGAAAACAAGGTTGGAGGTTTTAGAAACTCCGACTCTGTTTGGAGAAAGGGTAAACAAAACGAAACAAGTAAAATATCTGGGTCTAATCCTAGATAGCAATCTTACTAGGAACCAATACTTACAAAAAGTAACCAACAAATGTTAAATGTCTCTCATTGTAGGAAGACGGGTATTTGGAAAAACATAGGGATTAAAACCAAAAATGGTCCACTGGCTATATTTGGCAATAACAAGACCCATGATAACTTATGGAGTGGTTGTTTGGTGGCTAAAAGTAAACCATAAAACAGCCCTCAATACCCTCTTAGGAGTACAGAGGCTGGCATGCCTTTGTATTACAGGAGCATACCGACAGCCTCTATGGAAATCATTCTAAACCTCACACCCCTTGACCTAGTCATAAAGGAGGAGGCCAGAATAAGTGCATACAGACTAGAAATCTCCAATATGGGATCAGATCACATGACACCCCTCCTAACCTTTAACAGACTCTTCCAGGTCAACTGTAACTGGAACGAGGTAAATAAGGATATAAATAAATACTTTCTTAGCGGTCTCGTATGGTATACGGATGGATCTAAATCTAACAAGGAAACAGGCTCTGGCGTACATGGAGTTAAACCCAAATGCGACATCATCGTCTAACTGGAAAAACATGCCACTGTATTTCAGGCTGAAATACATGCAATCGAATTGTGTGTACGAGAGAATTTAAAAAGGAAGTACAAAAAACAAACCATCCTAATTCTCTCAGACAGCCAAGCAGCCTTAAAGGCTCTTTATTCAAACAGAATCAAGTCAAAGCTTGTCTGGAACTGCATTGGAATACTAAATGATCTGGAAACTCACAACAAGGTAAAACTAGCATGAGTACCAGGGCACAAAGGTATCTAAGGAAATGAACTCGCCAAAGAGGGATCAGATCTACCATTCACAGGACCCGAACCTGTATTTGGGATAAGCAAAACCTATGCTCGACAAGCAGTGAACAGGTGGATAACCACAAAACACCAAATTCACTGGCAACAGTTAAGAGGGCACAGAATCAGTAAGCTCATGCTAAGGGAACCAAACCCACGCATGGCTACTGAGGCACTACAACTCGCAAAGACTTTTAGATGACATATTCCCATTTTTTTCCTTAAACGAATTAATAGTAACATATATTAAAATAATATTCAATATGGAAGTCAATTTGTGCTGGCTCAAATCACTAAAATAATCTCCAAATGAGGTCTTAATTGTCTCATCTTTTATTAGTTTAATAAATAGTGAGAAATTAAATATTTTATTTTTTTTTTTTTATTTTAAGGTCAACAAATCGAGAGTACGTAGCAATTGTTACAACCTCTTATATACCAGTAATTGAAAACCCGCTTACAGATGGATTTATCAAACAAAAATACGAACTTTTTATTAAAACTTTAGCTACTCTAGAAAAAGACTTTACTACACTAATTAATGTCTTTCCGAGAATATACAAGATAGTAAAAGTCGATGAAGCTGCCTCTACAATTACTTTAAACTTTCACCTAACGTCAAACACCAGTATGAACGAAGTTGAAGTTTATTCTGGGTTATTACCGGCTATGAATGTCCTTAGGGAATCTAGTGCATTTTTTTCTAATAATTTTTATATGACAACTTTTTGCATTGGATTTCAAACTAATAATGAGCAAGACGCTACAATTACATGGCCTTTGACTAAAGTTAATGAAGTTGCTTATAAACCTCGCGAAGAATGGTGTCTTGATAAAGATGGGTCTGTTATCACTATGTCGTGCAAAGGTAAAGTATTTTTTATATTTTTGTCTTCTAACTGGTATCCCCAGTTACCTGGAATTGAAAATTGTACGAAAAACAACATGTTGAATATAGTATATTAGGTACTTAACACAGTAGTGTGGAAAGAGCAACATCGTGCACGAGTTTTGAAGTTTAGCACGAGCCGCTTAGCGGCGAGTGCGGAAACTAAAGGAGTGCGAGAAATACATTTTACGACGAGCTGTGTATTATTTTTCCTACGACCACATAAAAATCCTTCAAAAAACGTCTTTTTCAAATACGAAAGTAAATTAAACAATATCACACATGTACTGAAAAGTATCACACATGTGTTGAAAAGTACAACATATATAAAATATTTGTTTATTATTTTGCTATTCTAAAAACCTATAAAAAAAACTTTTTCTTCTACACCCACATGGATATTAGCTTATCTACGCACAGACTACAAAACGAAAAAGAATGTCATTGCGTTCAACTGAACGAATATATTTTATATCCATTCTAGTACACTGCAAAAAATGAAATCCACCAATCACAGTTCATATTTTGGACGCCCAACTACTATAACCGTTTTAAAGCGATGTACCAGAGAACACTTCGGTTATACCCTTGAAATCACGTGATCAAAGCCCTAAATAGGTAACGGGTTATGGTAACGCATTAACGTTAAATTGTTTTTTTAAGAAAGATAAGAAATTTTGACATTTAATTTTAAGGTTAATTTTTATTGGCCCTAAATTTGAAATTGAATGAGTTTTTCCTCGGCTTCTCCTTATGGACAACAATATAACAAATTTATTTCGCTACCTTGTTAGTGATGACATGGATTTTAAAAAACTGGTCAAGATAAAATTGTGTGATGTTGATATGGTGCCAAAAAAAAAGGATTTGAAGACTGGATATCAGAATTTAATAAGAAATGGTGTTACACTTTTTTTCGCATTGTACCAGACACATTTGATAAATTACGTATATCTATATACATAAATAATAGTATAGCTATCTCTAGTCTTCATTAGTATAGCTAATGTTACTTTGTTATTTGACGGATCAAATTCTATAATCTAACCAAGAAACACTAACTGCATGACGTCATTATTAACCCAAGTCCGGACTCAGGTATTTACCGGTTATAATTAATGACGTTTCAAAGGGCTTAAATATGACGTCATAGAAATTAACCAAGAATGACCAACATCGCTTTAATTAAAATGGTAAATACCGAAAATTACCGGTTGATCGCTTTGAAACGGTTTATTATTTTTTAAATTTTAAATAAGTGACAGGAGGTGGGTTGGCTCAGTGGTTAGAGTCATGACTTTGAGATCGGAAGGTCTCAGGTTCGAATCCCACCGTTGGCCGGGATTTTTTCATTTAATTTAATTATTTAAAATTAATTCTGATGCCTTGGTAGGATTCCCCACTCGACCATTCACTGTTGGGTTCTAATTAACAGTGCTGTTTCTAAAGTGGCGCTGGGAAACAGTAACAAAGCCTACACAGAATTCGAGGCTAATAACCATAGCAGTTGATGCCAATGACACAAAAAAAACAATTAATCCATTGATAATTTACATATACCAGTTTGACGTATTTGCCGCTTATTTACGGACATGCGCACAAAAATATGGAACCCTCATAAATAATGAACTGTCGCTACTGTATTATTAATTATACTGAGCTTTCACCATGTAATTTGTCAATTGTTTAAATTAGTTATTTTGTTTTAATAGCCTAAAATATTTTTTTATATATTTAGTGGGTCGTAGAAAAAATATACTATACAACTCAAGTTAATTGTCCATATTGGACTCGGACTCTGCCTACGGCGTCGTGCCCAAATTTTGTCTTCGTGCGATATGGCCATCATTTCCACTCTTGTTGCACAAACTACTATTGTTGTCGCTTTTAACAGATTGCAATTCTCACTTTTTGCTCTTAATACACAAATGACTATTATTGCCTCTCATTTCATACATAAAAATTTGTATTGACAATATAATGATAATTTTGTTTCCAATATATGTTGTGACAGGCTTCTGGTTCACCTACAGTGAATCAGCGAGTCTGTATTGCGCTATGATGGTGATTCCCGAATAGGGGTCGCTAAGGCGCCAGTTTTGGTATCGCAGTTTGCTCTGCGACCCTGAAGTACACCAGAATGTACTCAAAGTAAACTCAGTGGAGGTAAAAAATAATTCCAGGCGGTCACTGCCAGGTAGCCACTATACTAGAATAAATAAAAATAAAACACTTATCTTCTTTACACCTCGTACCCTACAGTACCCTTAGCAGATAAACGGGGTTAATCGATGAACTAAATCATGGTACTCACGGCACTAGATACTAACTAAGGGTGAATAGTTTTCGACTGTCGGCAATCAAGAGAGAAGAGCTTACGGCGGCTGGCAAGCGAGAAGAGAGCGTAATTCCCAGATGGGATTTAAATAATGCTTTTTCGGTAAAGCAAGATGGAAGACCAGTAAGCCCGAGGGGGATACCACCACTACAGCTGACTGTTTACAATTTAGAAATATAAAAAATGTCCTTCTAGTACCTTGACAATTAAAAGTAGATATTTCATACGAAATCGACTCTAAAAATGCCCATTCGGATTTCGGCAAATATAAGAATATTTTAATCTACGAGGGTACTCGCAATTGTTAAAAAACGGTAATTCCTGGGAAACAAATACGGGGGAACTTCTACATGTTCTCAGGCGGGAATTAATTGAAATATACATTTTTAAATTAATTGAGAGCAAAATTTAATGACTTCGTCACAATGTGCGTTTTGTTACTTTTCCAATACAAGTGTGATATACAGGGTGTTAAAAAAAAGTGTCACAAAATAAAACGGGGGGTAGTATGGGCCAAAATATGCAGAAAAGTCTTAATAAACATATGTCCGCAAATGAATGGTTTTAGAGATACGGAGTGTTTTGTATCATTTTTTGATTATCTTTTTTCATTCTCAAAAACTTGCTTTTCTTATCGGAGTCTACCGATGTTTTTTCATAGATACTATTTGCAGTTATTATTTTGTTGTGGGTGAATAATTTTATAAATTTTCGTTATGCCTGTTTACACTAATATTGAATTAGCTGACATGCATTTTATGTACGGTCGTGCAAATGGCAATGCATTGAAATGGAGGGAGGGCACTTTGAACATGTCATTTAACTCTATGTTGTTATTGATTGTTTATAAATATCATTGTTTTTTATAATAATAAAAAATTGTTATAAACACAAAATGGTCCGTATCTCCGAAACCGTTAATTTGCGGTCATATATTTATTAAGACTTTTCTGCTTATTTTGGGTCATACTATTCACCATTTCATTTTGTGACACTTTTTTTTTAACACCCTGTATATTTCAGGAATATAAGCTACTCTCTAAAGTACAAATAAGTATGTAATTTTCATATGTGATCATAGGAAAACAAAAATACAGCACTGTTATAAACGTTCAAAAAATTTGTAAGTTTCACGAATTTCCATAAAAGTATGTATTGATTAGGAAACCCAAATTTAATGCCTTCTGTTTAGAAATGATATTTTTAAATAAACTAAGCTTGAATGTGAAAAATAAAAAAAAATTATTTTTGAATGAATAATTCTTTATCTATATAACTTCCCTGGAGAATTATGTATGATTAATATTATTTTTAATTTGTTGCCTTTTCTGATATAAACGTCTAGCAAATTTTAAAAATCAAATAGTTTTGGCTCTACAGACCATGGCACACCCTGTACATTTTTGTAAAAAAACTTATTATATTTTAGGTAACTTTATCGATGGAGCTTCCTGGGTGCCCATGGAAAAACAATGTTCTTCTTTAGAAAATGTCCAATTGCATCTAATTCTGAATCAAGTTCTCAAAATAAACAATCCAAGCAATTATATGTCCTTAGTTCGAGAACTCATACAAAAAAAGAGTGAAGAATTTCAAACTGTTCACATCAATCTCATAGCTCAATTTTTGAAACAAATTTCAGAGGGGGAACCAATTAATTCAAGTAACATCGAAGACTTTGCTAATTTAGTAGACGAAGTCATTAATATAAATGAAGATCTTTTGAAGCAGTCCCAGATAGATCATAATAGTACTGATGTGATACTTTATTGTATCCATAAAATATTGGAAAAATCTAATTTTCATGACGCTATAATTAGAAGTTCGTTCTCAATAATAACGCTATTAATAGACGAGTTTTATAGCAATTCGATAGTTTGGACAAGATCGGCTAATGGATACGATATAGAGTATGTAAATTTAACTGAAAGTGATCTTGAGTTAAATAACTTCAGCGCTGATTTTGATTCAAGTTTGATTTTTGATAGAAACCTACTAAATGAGATAATAAATGTAAACAACAACCGAATCATAATTATAGCTTATTTTAAAGGAACACTTTTCAATGAAGATTATTTACAACAGCATGCTTCAACAGTTTTTAGCACTATTTTTCCAAATATGCCGAGTTGGAACACTTCTGATTTGGATAACCTTATCATTACTATGTATAACGCTAATAATATTGAGAATCCTGATATGCTTAACTGTTCTTATTGGTCAAAAGATAGTGAAAATACTAAAGGATATTGGTATCATAACAGTAAAAGTAAATCACTAGATTCGAAATTGTTGTGTAATTTTAAAAAAATTACTAACGTTGGCTTAATATCTGTCGATAATGTAACTGCACGACTAGAAGCATTAGTGGAAGATAAGCAAATTGATTGTTCTGAAATTTTACGAAGAATTAAAATATTACTAAGTTCTCTATCCACACAATTTCAAAGCACAGATATCTCTTTGACTAGCAATCTGCTTCTAAGATGTCAAAGTGATGTAGAATCAGTTTCAGATATTTTGGATCAACTATTAGATTTACCTGCAAATGCATTATTTTCTAGTGAAACAGTTCTACTAGATACATTTTATACTATTTTTACAGGAATTAATAATAATAATATTGAAATTATTAAAAAGAATTTTGCGGTATCTATAACAGATATTCACGATGTACAAGGTTTTCATTTAGAAAAGTGCGATAATTATTGCAACATAGTACTGGATCGTGGAAAATCTACAGAGAAGGAATATGAAATCAGTTTTACAATGAGTGAAGAATTAATTAATCAACTTATTGCAAGTCTGCTTAGTAAGATTATATTTATTTTATTTTCGAACGACGCTCTGTTTTCAAATAAAAATTATTACAAGTTAAGAGAATCTTCAAAGGTAGTTGGTTTAATGATAGACGTCCCAGATTTATTTAAATTGAATGGCGATATATCAATTGTTTATAATATAGAAAATGATTCTATAAACCATACATGTGAGTTTTGGATGATGGATCATTGGGATCCAACTCTACCAGTTAATTTCTTGGGCATGAATCAATATAACTGTAAATATTGGGATTTTGGGTAAGTGGTTATAATCATTTTATTTTGTTGATTAATATATTCGACCTATCTTATTTACAATCATAATATAATTTTTTAGTTACAAGTAAATTCCACTAGAAACGCGTTATAAACCAATACATTTTTGTAATATTTGCCCTAACAAATATCGTACTAAAAGTCATTATTGTAGCATTTAAGCAATGCGCTGTATTTCATAATTTTGAAAATTCGTTTACATATTTTAAAAGATCACAAAAACCCGAATTAAAAAGTAACTCTACCTAATTTTTTATTTTTTGCAATAAAATTAGCTATAACAAATGATGAAGATCTGTAATTATATTTTCTTGGTTTCCTAAAAAAACCTTGGTTTGTCCATTTAATTAATCACTTAGAAGCAAATTGGTATTAAAAACTATTCTTGTTTATCGCATAAAAGTAGCAAATAGAATAATTACAAATGGTTACAAGTTACAACGCACATAGGGGTATTTGAACGATTTAGGCGGCCAAAATTATTCTAAACGATATTAATAAACAAAACAAAGGTTTTAATGTTTATTTAACCTATATTTATTAATAAAAATATAGATATACAATTTTATTTGACATTAGTCGTATAAATTTTCATCTTCGCTTTTTGAAGAATTAACAGCTTCAAGCGGCTTTGCAGACATTAGTAAATTAATTGTTTCTGACAAAAAGACCTAATTTTTCTTCTTTTAACTTAACTTAAGAGGAGGTCTGAAGAAGCAGGCGACTAAAAATATTCCTGTTCAGGGGCGCATATATGGGGGTAATGGGGGTAATCCTCCCCCCAAGAATGTTTATACCTAACTTTTTATAGATATTAAAAATGTATTGCACAAACTATTGCAGTATTTTTTGTTCAATCTGGCAGAAGCGCTTTTTTACTTTCGTCGGCTCTCCGCCACTCAAAGCGCCTAACTTAGATTCCCACTCTACGTTGTACGTGCTTGTATCTCAGAATCTCATTCTTCCTTCAACTAATATTGCTTATATAATTTTGTTTTTATTTTGATTTCTACTGGAAGTACTGAATACTGGATCACCAAAGTGATAGTGATCCTAAGGTGATAGATACACTGTGTTCATGTAAGGGTTTTACTTTACAGGTATTTTTATGAAGTTTAGTAATTTAGATTTAAGTTTTTGATTATAATATCTAAAATTTACCATTGTTGCAAATTATTTTTGTTCTTGCACTTGCAGATACTAAACATAACAGAAATTAGCAATGAGTAAGAGAAAACAGAATACCTTAGATAATTATTTGTTAAAACCAAAACAAAATAGGGGAATAATAACCTCGGAAGTCGTGAATTTATCACCAGTCGGGGAATCCTCTGAGGAAGCGGGTTCCAGTTCGAGTATGGGTAAACAAACCGCCGAAACTAGTGCCGGTAGCAACAGTGACCACAGCTTTGCCACATTTAATATTTTACATGGTTATAAAAAATCGATAGATATTGCTCCTTTTGTCAATACATCTAAAATAATTACATTGCGGGAAAAATATTCGGTTTTAATGTACTCTATGGTTCCGTATCAAAATTTTACGTACCCGTTTTCAATTCACAGAAAAAATTATAAAGATATTAAATGCTTTTTATCAAAATGACATTTTGACACTTTTTTTAGCTAATATATTCGCAAGGTCTAGAGGGTATATTTTGTAAATTTGGCGTTATTTTTTCAAAAGTGGGTAGGGTACATCAGTCAACTAAAGCCTTGGTTTCTTTGAACACTCCGTCGCGGTGAGCGGACAGTCTGTCGACCGCTGAGGACAGCAATTTTCGCCCGAGGTGGTGTGTTAAAAAATATAGAAAATGATACTTTCTCTATGTCTGTATGTGCTGTTTATGTATAATGAATGTAAACGAAAGGTACTAAAATGGATGCAAATAAATTGTTTGCGTTGTTATTATTGTTGGAAGAGGAAGAACAATAGGAACTGGCAATTGCAACCGTCAAAGTTTCCAATAATCCAGTGGATGAGTTGTTTTTATGTCGCGATACAGAAGGTGCCTTTAATATCACTGTGCAGCGGAGGCTTTTTGGAAATGAAACCAAATTTAGGGAGTATTTTAGACTTTCTACAGATCTTTTTAAATTCGTGTTGAGTTTTATAAAAGACATAATTTCCAAGAAACCTAAAAATAAAGTCATGATGTCATCTGTATGTGTGAATTTGTCACTCATTGTTTTAAAATTAATAACAATAAGTCTCCGCACACGCCGACGATTCCGCTGATATCAAACTCAACAAATATCAACCGTCTCTTCGCGACAAATCAGCGGCTTGACGCCGTCCTGCTCAGCTAAGCGGATTCAAGAAAACCATTTCCATTTAAATACTCTGGTTGGATAAAATCGTCAAAACGCGACGGTTAACGGACTGTCCGCTCACCGCGACGGAGTGTTCAAAGAAACCAAGGCTTAAGTTGGGACGTCTTGTTACTACTCCACTAAATAAGTATTCCAAACTATTCGGAAAAGATGGCGATTTGATAATGCATGATAAATCGGTCTATTATAGTAAAGCTGTTACAGAGGGACATAATTTAATTAAAATTTATGAAAATCCAGAGATAGATGTAAGATATATATTAGATCATGAAAGACAAAGGCAGATTTTAGAAAATAAACTTAGATTGAAACCCATTATCGAGTCAGTAATCTTTTTGGGACGACAAAATATTTTTTTTAGAGGTCATAGAGATCGAGGATCTCTTGTCGTTTCCGAAGGTTCTTCTGAAGATGAGGATAGTCTTGTAAATAATCAAGGTAACTTCTGTGAATTAAATAAATTTAGAATAGAGAGTGGCGATGTTATATTACATTTAGGAAACACTTCATCTCGTGCAACCTATATTAGTAGTTATACGCAAAATGAAATAATTGAATTCTGTGGTGAGGAGATTTTAGAAACCATTTTACAACGAGTAAATAAAAGTCAATTTTATAGTGTAATATTTGACGAAACCACGGACATAAGTCATAAGTCACAAATGTCAATAATCTTAAGATACTGTTACGAAAATTGTCTGTACGAAGATTTCGTAGGTTTTATTGTCACATTTGATGAGGATACATTAGAACCAACAGTTAGTGGTAAAATTCTTGGTTCAAATCTTATTTAATTTTATTAAAAATATTAATTTAAATCCCGATAAGTGCATAGGAATTTGAACTGATACTTGCAACTTAATGCTTGGTGAACAAAAAGGAGCCGTTACTGAATTAAAAAAAAAATTAACCAATGCACTTAAAAGTCCTTGTGCCAGCCACTCATTAAATTTATCTATTTCGAAAAGCTCAAACGATCAAGATGTTAGAAATGCCGTTGGCGTTATAAAAGAGGTAAATGCATTTTTTAAAGCTTCCGCAGAAAGAAATTTCTGGATTATTCTATCTTCTTTATTTACTCGTACCTTTACTTATGATGACCGCAGCACGCTACAGGGTGCTGCCCTCTCTAGTTATTCGCCCCGAATAACTTGGTTACTGGGACCTGGCTGGAGCCAATGGGGAGGAACTGGACCATGGTATGGGGCTATCTTTCCACTGTGAAATACATTGGATTTACCTCCCGCCGACAGTTTAATGCGGCAGATCAGGTCGTTGATTTTCCTTAAAGACAGAGTAGGGGCCTTGCCAGTTCCTTTGCGATTTCTGACAAAGTCCTCCTCGCTGCTTGGGATTGCACCGCCATACCTTGTCGCCCCTCTTAAAATGTGTGTCTGTGGCACGTCTGTCGATTCTAGCTGCTGCTTCATCGGTGTGGGCTTTCAGTCGTTCCCGAGCAAATCCATAGACCTTTGTGCTGTCATTGCATACATCACATCTTTTACACAAATCCGCTACATCCCGTCGGCAATTGACGCAATAAAATCTTTCTCGAACTCGTGCCAGTGTCCTTTTAGTATCAAAGTGTCCTCCTGAACGGCTGCTATGAAGCTCCTACAATACGTTTCTCACCTGCGACCTCGGCAGTATCACTTGGCGGACTACATGTACTCCATCGGGGCTCTCCCACTTCCAGTGCAATAGGCCATCGTGAAGATACAGGGAATCCCACTGGGCCCAGTTACCTTTTATAGTTCTACTGTATTAGCTATCTCTTGCCAAGTAGGTGTGACTTTATTTTTCTTGGACAATCTTTAAGCATTGTCTTTCTTCTGTCCCTGTCTCAGACTTTCAAGGGTGATTTCTTCTTCGCCGCCCTCTGGCTTGATAGTGGTTGCCCAAAGGGTAACTTTATCAACTGATTCTTCCCGTTCTCTGAATCCCTTACTGTACTGGCATTCTCGTTCTAAACAGGGTCGTCTATAGAGAATGTCTGCGTTGCTATACAGATGGCCTCTTCGATGCTCTACTTACTGATTATTGCTAGAAATCCGACTCGGTGTGGGTGATTGGCTACTTCGGGACGCATAGCTGCTGTGACTATTTCTTGTTGGACTTAGTGACGGGCTTCGGAAGATTGATTTTTGTGACTTTCCGGCCTCATTCCCTGATTCTCTATTTATAGAACGAGCTCTTCTACAGGTTCTTTGAAGGTGCCCGATTCTTCCGCAATTGAAGTATCTTCTGTTCTTATTTTGGCTATTTCGTTGGGGGTAGGTTGGAGAATAGCATTAGCATTGGGGTCCTCACTTTCCTGGGATTTAATTTCTCTCATTTTTGCGCGAGAAGATCTGGATATCAGTTTTACCCCTTCATATTCCTGGGCTGCAATCACTTTCTCCTTCAGCGTCTTGTGATGTTGTAGACGAAGGACTTGCTGCATTTCCGCATCTTGTAGTCCATCAATGAATGTTTCTATTCCGATTTGTTCTTAGAAATCTTTGGGCGCCTGTGGATAGGCCTGATGAATTAATCTTCTTATGTCAGCCCCGAATTCCTGTAGACTCTCATTATGTTTCTGACTACGACTCTTTAGCTGGCTTTGAAATACCCGTTTCAAATGCTGCTGGCCATATCTTGTATCCAAAGCTTGGACGAGAGATGAATAACTGGGTTCTTCTTGAGGGAGTAACTGTAAAACGGTTGCTGCTTGTCCTCGCAGCGACACTATCAATGTAGCCGCCTTCTCCTTTTCAGCCCAGCCATTGGCTCTAGCTGCAGCTTCAAATTGAAGGCGATACGTTTCCCATGTTGTCTGACCGTCCAACGTGGGTGGCTTAATGATCTTGCTCGTATGGATTTGTGAAACTGGGTGTTGAATATGGGCTTGGTTCGATTACAGATGAGGACGAGGTAGTGTTTTCAGCTTCTCTGTTGCTTATCGAAGCTAGGCTACGAATTCTTCTTTCTAACTCAACTATTTCAGTTCTAATTTGCCTTTCGAGCTCTACCCTAGCCTTTTCCTGTTGTTTTAAATTATCTCGTTGTTGTTCTAAATTAGTTTTTAAATGCTCTTTCGATCTTATTTAACTCCATACTTAAATAAAAATTACGAATATTTCTAAAATCTTTAACATTCGTAATGAAAAATCATGTAAGTTTAAATCCTAAACATTAAATGAATAAAAGATTATTTTGTCTTTTTAATTATGCCTTTTTGACTAATATTTTTAAGAAGTTTTGAATATTTACTAATATCAATATCAGTATTTAACTTTAAGGTTATTTTTAAAATTTAAATTGACCACAAAAGGCGTTTTCGGAAACCTAGTATATATCACAAATCGGAAAACATTTAATATTTTTACAACAGTTAGGTATATGACATAAAATATATCTAGAATTTTCTGAAGAATCCAAAAATTAAAAAATATACAGGGTGTTGCATTTAAAATAAAAAAGTTGGTATTGGCCAATGTTACATGACACACCTTGTATAAAAAGTTTTTATTAAAAAAAATGTGTAACTTAAAATACCAATCAAAGTGTCCGAGCGTTTTATAGAACAGGCCGCCATTTATTTATTACCGAATTTATTCCATTTGTCTGTTCCACAAAGTATAAATGAATCATATAAAGAACTTTTTTCACTACTAGCTTTAGAAGCTAACTTTATTGACTGATTTTCAGGTAAAAAAGTGGTTCATTATTAACCTAGGGAGAGAATTACAGAGCCTACCTGATAACTATATACCTACTGTATTTTATGTAAATGATATCAGTTCATATTTTGACAGTTTTTGAGGTTAACTGAAATGATCAAATGCAAATACAAAATGTAAAAATATTTTACTTACTTATTTAATGGTCATATCCACTATTCAAATAAAACCAATTCACTTTCAGATTTCATTCCACATTTTCATAAATATATAAAAGAGTTTTCAAATCAAAATAAAAATAAATCGATAAATAAAGGGGTAACTTGTTGCACTGACGTTTGTGTTTTACATTTAATTGTCACAAGCATGGATGATTTGATTTGAAAAAAAGTTTGAAATCGTTTTTATTAGTTTTAGAAACTTAATTTTTTTTTTTAATTAAAATGCTAGTAGTGAAAAAAATAGTATATGAGCCACGGTAGAGAAGTGAGTTATTTTGTCGAGGTCTATTAAAGACCGAGAAGCGAAGCATAATATACTATTACATATTTTAAGTTGGCTTCATTAAAAATGTTAAAAAATGTATTTAACACAAATTTCAATAATTTTAATTTTTTTTGTTAATTTCAGGTATTATACCCTTCGTTATAATTACGTGAACGTAACAGCTTTAATAGAAGAAACTCTTAACGAAAATTTGGATACTTACGAAACATTGGTAATTTTGGGAAATATAACACAAGTTTACACAAAAATATTCAAAGCAGTAGATATCGATCTTATTGCATCTTATTTGTCTCAAATAAAAGATGCAGACAACAATATATTTGATAAATACGCATTTGTTATTTCAAATATAATGGAATTAAATAGAGAAGTAGTTATAGAATCGGAAAGAAAATATTCATCTACAAATAGAATTATAAATTCTATAACTAATATTGCTGGACAAGTTGATGGTCCTATAAATGTATGTGAATCTAATTTAATTGTAATTAAAACACAAACCATTGCTAACATTTCAGGATTAATTATTAATGATATTGGAGGATCTTGTAATTTTAACCCAATACTAGATATTATTCCAGTAAATTTAAATACCGGAATTATCCTAAAATCTGATCAAATAATTCCTGAGACAATCATGTTTACAGCATTCTATACGAATTCAATATTTATCGAAAAGATGGATCAAAAAAATACAAGTGTTATTTTTGGTGTACACATACTTGGCTACGATTCAGTTATTTCAAAAGACATCACAGTATATTTTGATGGAGCAAATATCAAATCAGAATATTTGGGATGTGTTTATTGGACCGGCTCTCAAACAACAACAGGATGGTGGGAATTATCTGGACGAGCTAGTCCTAGTTTTACTTGTAACCACTTTAAGCAAGGTTATTTTACTTTATGGGAAGCAAATGAGACCACTTTTAATATTTCTGCAATGCTTGAAGATGTATACAATTCGGAAGATTCAACAGAAAAAAAATTGGAACGATTGGAAAGTATTTCAACATACCATGAAAATTTTAAATCTATAGATATAATGTTATTATCACAATGTTTTTTACAACTTTTACAACTTGATAAGATAAACCATGACAGCATTACTGTTTTAAAAAGAATCGGAATCAATTACTTTAAAATACCAAGTAGTATCAAATATGAATCTCAATCGCTACATAATGCCACAAGTTCCATTTTAGATTTCATTTATAATAATGGACTTTCGTTAGATTCGAATGCGACAATAGAGCTGGAATCTTTTTTTCAAATAATTAAATGTGACATTGATAAAAACTTCTACCTAATAACCATGCCAAATAATAAGTTACATTGTTTTCATGTACCTTTTGAGCCTGAAGAAAGTAACATTACAGTGGTTTACATGCAATTATCATCAATAAATAGTGCAATCTCTGTTAGCATATTTGACGAAAATGATTTATTTGTTGATAAAAAATCAACGGCAACTTCCAAAATTATAGGAATTTATGTTTCAAATCCAACGAACGATATTTCAATAGACGTGTTCTTTAATCAAACTACAGTAAACAATCCCAATTTTGCTTGTGGATTTTGGACGTTTGTACCCAATGAAAATGGCAAATGGACATATTTTCCAACTAACAAAGAACCAACTCGAACCGTTTGTACCGTTTCGAATGTAAAAGCTGTTCAACACATTGCCTTAGTAGATCTGACCTTCACGAGAGTATTAAAAGACATTTTTCGTGGCCCTTATACTTATTTTGAAAAGATTTCAGCCGTTTCAAAGTTAATGCCCGATTTTCAAAATCAGTTTGAACCAAAAAATGTTGATCAGATTTATCAAATATTGAATAGTACAGAAGTTTTCGAAGACATTCATTTAACGATTTTTGTTGATATTATAAATAATTTGATGGGTCTTAAAAGAGAGATATTGGCGTCTGCTCAAAAACATTACAACACCACTGAAAATCTATTAAATTGTATAGATAGTCTGATAAGAGGATATAAAGGTAGGTCATGTTTAATATTTTTTATATTTATTTTACGTTTGTGTAATAGTCTTATCAGCCAATCTACGTAGAGCTTTGTTGAGCTCTAATTTCACTCATAGATCCAAACCGAGAATTAAAAACGCACACACTGACAGATATCACCATGCTAATGCTCACCATCCCAAACCAGATTAGTCATTGATTATCTTAACTAAACTAACCAATACAAAAACACCGATATTCTGATCATCATCTCTGTATCTGTAATGTGTGGAAGGTGGGTTACTCCCACGGCACTTAGGCCTCATTAGACCCATTGTGCATCCTCCTGAAAAGATAGGCACCTCCTAGCTCGTGAACCAGCTTAAAGATTTAATGTAGTTGACAACGTCGCCCAAAGGTGCTTCTCTTATGTCAGCCGGTGTTAGCTGATACTCGCCGAACACAAATCTTCTAATAAATGAGAGCGTCGAGCAATCGTAAAGGAAATGCTGGATGGTCTCATCTTCTTGTTCGCACCCTCTGCAGAGTGCGGATTCTGACAGCCCCATGATATGGAGATGCTTTCGTACTTGGCAACGACCAGTCAGAATGCCTAGTCATAGTCAAATATTTGTTTGCTGCAGTTTTGTCAGGATAACTTAAGAGCTCCCTGGCAACTCTGCAGTTTCTTGTTTCATCCTATCTTTCCTTGAATTCCACAAGGGAATGTTCTTTGATTAGGTCTGCCACTACCGATTTTGTCAGGCCAATAGAAGAGCCAGGTCCAAAAAGTATTTGGTTGGCTGCTTTCTTGGCTAGTGAATCAGCAAGACGGTTACTTTTCGATGCCGCGTGACCTTTAATCCATCTTAAGGTGACCACGTTGTTGATGGATACTTCGGCCAAAGCTTCGTGACATTCTAGTACTAACCCTGAATAAATTTGTGGTCTGTTCAGGGTGAGTAGTGCTTGTCTGCTATCTGTATAGATGAACATGTTCCTTCCAGTGATATTATTTCTGGTTATTTCTTTTGCTGCTATAAGAATCCCCGTTAGCTCTGTTTAAACTACACTGGCACTATTGCTCACAGCCCATTTTATGTTTAGGTTTAAGAATCTGAAGTATATTCCACATCCTGAGCCTTGTTTTATTTTAGAACCGTCGGTGTAGATATGAATCGTGCTTGACACTTTTAGCTCTTCTATTTGTTCTATTTTAACTTTATATGGCTCATGAAAGATATATTTTGGTAAGATGGAGTCCATGTTCGCTTGAAGCAGTGGGAGCGTATCCAGCGCCTCCCGAGAAAAGTGACGTCTTGCATCACCAGATCCTACATCAGGTTCTATTCCGACCGTGCGGAGGCGTGTCATTGTTGTTAGAGGAACCTCTTAGATGTAAATATCAAGGGAAGTGAGACTGAGAATGACTTCCATGGCTCTAGCCGGTGTTGTTTTTATGGCTCCTGTTATGTTGAGACATGCTGTCCTTTGAATTTGTTCTATTTTGCGGATAGCTGTTAATTTTTGGGTTTTCGGTATCCAGACAACTGCACCATATGTTAGCATATGTCTTATGATAGCCGTGTAAGTCCATGCAGCGACTCTGGGAGAGAAACCCCAAGTGCGCCCCACGGTTCGGCGGCATTGTTCATAAGCAATGTATGCTCTTTTAACTCTGTTTTCTAAATGCGAGTTCCATGTTAACTTGCTGTCAAAGGAGAGACCTAGGTACTTCACCTTTGTTGCAAAGTTTAGTTTTATGTTTAGGAGTTCTGGAGGTTTTAATTCCATTTTCAACCATTTTCTTGTGAAAAGGACAATTTCTGTCTTCTTAGGATTGATAGACAGTGAATGGTCCTTGCACCACTGTTCTATTTTTAGAACTACTTGCATTCTTTCGCAGAGTATGTTCTCAAAATTCCCTGTTTGCAGAATGACCAGGTCATCTGCATATGCTATTGTGTAGTGACTGTCATTATTGAGGCGGCTGATGAGGGTGTCGAGGACCATATTCCACAGTAGAGGTAATACCACCTCTCCCTGTGAACATCCCTTCGCAACCAAGCCTCTTATATTCACATCTTCTACACTTTTGTTTACTGCTCGCTTTAAGAGCATATGCTATTGGTTAGTGAGTGCCTTATCTTTGGGAAGGTGGTTTTATCAAAAGCACCTTTTATGTCTATGAAAACACCCAAGGCGGACTCTTTATTGTCCAGGGATCTTTCTATCCGGCTAGCAACTAGATGAAGGGCTGAATCAGTAGATCTGCCTGGGGTGTATGCATGTTGGTTTGGGTGTTTCGGTGTTGTTGTGATCACCGCATTTCTTATGTACCTTTCGCATAGCTTTTCCAATGTCTTCATGGAAAACGATATCATATTAATTGGTCGGTATATTTTTGGGATAGTGTAATCCATCCTTCCAGGTTTGGGTATAAATACCACTTTTACCTCTCTCCATTTTTTGGGATATACCTCAGAGCCAACGAGGATCTGAATATACCCACCAGGTGCGGTGTGAGTTCTTCCAGACCCCACTGAAATAGGGCTGGATAGATACCGTCAGGTCCTGGCTATTTAAATGGAGAGAAGCTGGACATTGCCCAATTAATTTTTTCATCGTCTACAATGTGTTTGGTAGTTTGCCAATCGTAGACAGATGGATTGTATTGTTCCTCTGCCCAGTCGGCCATGTCTGTGATGACCAAGTCAAGGAAGTGTGTTGACAGCAGAAGTTTGATGCTATCTTCGAGGTTGGGAGTTTTCGTGCCATCCTCTTTGATTAGCGCACCAATGCTTCAGTGTGGATCTTTTGAGAGAGCTTTTTGAAGCCTCGCTGCCTGCGGGAAATCTTCGATTTCTTCGCAGTAGGATCTCCATGCATCTCTCTGTTTTTGTCTGACGATTATTTTGTATTCTCTGAGGTGAGATTTATAAGTATCCCAGTCCTCTTTGAGTTTTGTGGTTCTTGCCTTATTAAAGGATTTCCTAGCCATCTTCCTGAGGTGATCCAACTCGTGACACCACCATGCAGTAGTCGTCTGATCGTGTTGGACCAGCCTCAGGGGTCAGGATTTCTTATAGGCATTGTTTATTGTGCTTTGGATAGTGTTCGAGTACTTCTCCAAAGCATTGTTATTGTTTGGTGTTTCGGCCCCCATCTCTCTCAGAGCCCCTTGGAGAAGGTGGGCATATATTGCCCTGTCCGTCTTCCTAAGGTTTCGAGATATCGTGGAGGTCGGCAACATCAAGTTTATTTTGAATGTTAACCAGCGGTAGTCTGACATCGAAATGTTATCAGACACTTGCCAGTTTAGAATTGATTTATAGATACCATTTGTGGAAAAAGTAATATCTATTAGGGTTTGACTGCGAGAGTTTTAAAATGTTGGTGTAGTACCTTTATTTAAAATACAAAGATTTTTGGTAATTATATAATCATAAAGTGACTTACCTCTAGCGTTGTTATCCTTACTGCCCCAACTGAAGTGATGAGCGTTTGAGTCACAACCTATTACCAGCTCAAACTTCTGTTCCAGGCAGTACGCAATCAGATCATCCATTTCTTTGCTGGGTGGTGGCGTGGTTGCATCGGACGGGATGCCAGGATTAACGTTTTCTTTTCCCTTTTGATGGCGTATTCCATCCTAACCGCAGTTAAATCGGAGGTGGAAAGGTATGCCATTGAGTGGGCTTTGTATTTCCTAGGAATGTTCCTTAGATTGTTGATTGCTTGGGAAGCTAAAAATTGAACCATTTAGATTTTTAAGACCTAAAATTTCACCGTCCATAAATGTCGTGAATATCAACCCTTCAGTATTTCTGTCAACAGCTTCTTGAATATATTTTCCTACCATTTTATCAGTTCCTTGACTGATTTATAAATCATTCGAAAAGAAAGCTTTAAAAATGATTTAAAAAAAATATATTAAACCAGTTCTTTATTTCAAAAACTCGTTCCTCTCTTTTGTCTTTTATAGGTTTAATCTCTTGTGTTTGTAGTAAAGTGTAGATACATCAGTAAATCAGGCCGCTATAAGCAATTTGACCGTAGTTCTCACACTGCCATCGTAGAAAATGCAGAAAATCTTGTAGAAAAAAGGCTATGAAATCTTTAGATAATGCAACCTTCCATCTTCGTCTATCTTACCATCGTCTTTTCTTATTTACGTTAATATCTATTGCGATATTTTTAAAAATCATATTTCTTTTATAATGCCTCTTCGGTATCCAAACCAGTTTAGGAGTCCACACCAGTTTTGGAGTTTAAACCAGTCTTCATTATCTCAGGCGAAATATTCAGTATCTTCTAACATGTTCGTACCATCTCAGCTTTATTTACTTTCTTATTACAACATTTTCTTTAAAATTTCATGTATTTTATGCTCCATATATTATTATGATTCGTGCGATTAAGTTTAATAGTTTGGTTTTGTTTGTTCTCAGTCTATGTTCATTCCATAACATTTAGTTAACCCTCTAATGCCTGCCCTCTTTCGTTTTACCATTTTTTAAAAGTCTTAATCTTCATCTTCGCCTGTTTCTAAATGCTTTACTTCTTCTTATGTTGTTGTTTTAGTAACATTATAAACTAAGGAAGGTCCTCGTTATTCTCATCAATTACAAAATTTAGTATGTAAAGTAGTAATTTGTGACTGTTTTGAAAATTTGTTGGTTAACTCTGGCACTGAACCACTCAAATTATGTAAATTGTCATCAATAATCATCTCAAAAATGTGGTAAAAATCAGATGTGACATTTATTTTGAGTTTTACTTTTTCATGAAAAAAAAAAGAGCTTATTTAATAGGTGTTATGAATAACATTATTCTTATTTAATAAATCTCACTTGTATTCGTTGAATTATGTTATTTAATGTTGATTATTTTTAGGTGAAATATTCCTTAATCACAACAATTTTGGACTAATAATCAAGTCACATGTTACTGGTATAGTTTTCAAGCATTCTAACAAATTATCATATACTATAAAACATATACTTTATGATAATCAAGATAATCGTAAACCTGATAGTTTAGATACATCACTAATTATAGATAATCCAACTGAGATACCAAATAAATTATACATATCTGTATATTTGAATAATGCCTTATTTAATGGAAAGTATGAACCAAGTATTAGGGATGAGGCGATCATAGTGGGTATTGGTGTTTCTGATCCAACAGTGAAAACTTCTTTAAAGTAGGTGAATTTAGATTTTTTTTAAATTGATTTCTTTATAAAATCACGTACTTTGTCTGATTTCCATATACAGTGCTTTTATTTAAAAACCAGCCAGTCGAAATAACTAATTCTTTTGGATGGTCCTTGGTGTTTTAGGTGTCTGCGAGAATGTATGTAAATGTATTTTATGTATTTGATAAATTAATGTTACTGAAGAAGGCACTGATAAGTTATTTACGGAATCAAAATGATTTTATATCATTTAAATTTTAAAAAATGTTTAAAATAAAATTTAAAAAAATGGCATCTATTCTTACCAAAACTTACTAGCTCAACTAGCTCGAGTTTGACGTATGACCTAAAAGTGTAATTCAAAAGTGCGTGCACTGCCTTACTTTGTGACGTCACACCTTGTTTATGTGCGATGCACAAATACGCGTGGTTTTAAGCACTCACATTGTTTGTTTCATCTGTTTCCACGGATCTGTTGTCCTCTCTTTTTAACTGTAGTCATTTGCGGAAATATCTGGTTACTTTGGTGCTCAATCAGTATTATGAATCGACAGAAACGGGATGAGCCAGAGAGCAGTGGCGTACCAAAAAAAAATAGAGATTACCATGAATGAATATAATGAAAATATTAAAATTGTATTAAAATTTTTATGTTGTTTTTATGAAATTTAACTGCACAACTAAAACAATGTAGAAACCACTCACTTTGCAATATGCAAGGAAGGCACTAAAATCAAAATTAACGCAATAAATAGTCATATTACTTCTTATATAGAATTTGCTTTTAAATAATGCGCTTGAACATACTCGCTAGTTAAAACAATTTGGGTTTCCTGCCGAGTTCCAGAGGGTATCAATTTTAAATGACAAAAGCACTGAATATTAGTACATTATTTATGATGATCGGCAACGTAGTCCAAGATAACCCCGTAAGAGATACATGAGCCATGAGATTGTATAATATCTGCTTATCTTGATGGTAGAATGTTGAGGTATTCATTTGTTTTAGGACATACTTTGCCAACTATGAAGATCAAATGAATATATGCGCTTACTGGAACCACAATGATGCCCAAACTGGTTTTTGGGAAACAATCACAAAATGCCCCTGTGAAAATCGAATGAATGTGAAATATTTCGCACTTTTAGAAGAATACAATGTAACAAGCGATTTGCAAGATATTTTCGTTGCTAACATTTCACTAGACGAAAAGTTAGTGAATGTAATAGGAATAGTTCAAAATAGCACGGACATTTTGAAACCGTACGATATCTATCTGATCTCAAAAATTGTGGGTAAGTGTTTAAAGATCGAAAGGTAAACCACTAACTTCAAAACGTATCCTATTAATTTTATACGATTTCGGCGATATTATCATCATACATATAATCACAATATATCCCCTGTAGTAGCGCATCTCACTTCTTAAAGTTTCTAAGTTTCTAGCGACATGCCACTGGCCGCTCATCTAATTAGATATAGCGGTAAATTCAAATAGGATTTTAAGACGAAATCATGAATTACCGCCCGCAAAAAGGCGGGAATTCTTAAACATATTTATTGGGCAATAATTAAAAAGTATGTTGCATGTTCCATTGAACGAACTGTTAATCCAGGCCCTATTGCAATAATTAAAGCAGTGTTTGGATTAACAATTAACTCATTTAAAAGAACATGTAATATACTTTTCAATTTTACGTGAGTCACCCATTTTTTTAACTATATATTTACGTTATAATTGAATGTATAATTAAATGTTTTAATGTGAGCTATATTTTGACCTTTACAAATTTTCGTTGCGGGGTATGAAGTAACGCCGGCTTGTTTCGTTGGTGTTTAAATGTGAACAATTATACCTATTTAAACACAATGTAAAACACACAATTGGATGAAGTTATAAAACAAAGAACCGCCAAATTTCAAAATTCGTGGTATATTAGGAGAATACACCCTAATATACGCCTAATGTAGGAACGCATCTTTTTAGAAGGCCAAACTACGCCTAGCGCGATCTAATTACATTGGAACTAAGTTCTGTATCGACACGTTTTTCTGAAAAAAGTAATTTACCATAAAATTAATGTGTCGAGAGGCAAATATCTAGTAACCCTAGTGTTAGGAAGTTGTGATAATGAGAATTCCACTCAGGTATGTACAAAATTACAAAAGATACATAAACAAAACATCATTCTAACCTAACATTTTATTCTGTAGTTCTTTGTACTGTAACTAAAAAAGTAGAAATAACATTCTGGTTGCTTATCTTATGGCTCCTGGTTCTCTTTTAAAAAACTGAATATGTGTAAAATCAAGATCAGTCAACTTTGGATCTTTGTTCCAAAACTAAAAAGTTTATTTGAACTACTTTGGCTAAATACATGTGTTTTCTCGTTAATTTTTTATGATGATGTTATGTTTGTAATATCCAATTCTTTTTTTAGTAACTATTAACTATGCAGACTAACGGTATTTTTGCATTTATTTGGAAAATGTTTTTTTTTAATAATCGCTTTAATCAAAAAGAAAGAGTCCCTATAGTAAACTGTTAAACTTTATTTTCAGAGTGCTGAGGTAGAAAACGTTAATTCAATTCAAGATAAAAAAGATGAAAATCAGGAAGTAATGATTACACAGCCCCACAAAAAAAAGTGTTCAGACTTGGCGGTCTGACATATGTATTCCCATGTATTTTTCGACACTAAATCCGATCCCGAGATCAAAAATGGTCTTCCATGTCTGGAATTTGCCCCAGGAGCCAAAAATGGCCTCTATATCGCCTGAAATGTATATTCCGAGATGAGGCGTGGTTAAAGGTGCATTCTAAAACCAAAGTCAGGTTTGTGGTCGAAAAGTTTACGAACAACTGGAATATATAAAGGAATGAGACACAGTAGTCTCGATTGTGTTAGGAAAACCCTCTCAAATGACGTTCAGGCCGGAGTTCCGGTACACCAGGTCTCCAGAGGTACGTTTTCGTAATGGAATTTGGATTTCGCGTGCCTAGAAACCCCCATTATTTCTGGAGAACCCTCGGAGACGACGTTTCGGTGTACTAGGTGTTTAGGGATCGTTTTCGACGTGAAATTTGGATCAAAAGCCCCAAAAAATACCCCTACAAGGTTTGTCGGCTTGTTTTTGGCAATCTTGGCAAGAAACTTTTCGGAGATGACGTCTACGTGCCGGTTCCAGCGCATTAGGTTTCCAAGGGGGGTTCGTTGATGTTAAATTTGAATTCAGCAACCCAAAAACCCCCGAGCACCGAGTTTTTCTCCTTACCTGCGTGAATTTTGGGATGGTCCCCGTAGACAACGTTCATCAGCGTTCCTGAGCTTCAGGTCGTCTGTGGTTCAATTTGAACATCATAATCGTGATTAGCGACCTCGAAAACCCTCAGGAACTCGATTTGGGCCGGTCCTGACTCCTCCACCTTTCAGGCCATATAGAGGCCATTTTTGGCCCCTGGGGCCAATTCCAGACGTGGAGGGCTATTTCTGAGTTGAAAATCGGATTCAGCGTCGAAAAATACATGGAAATACATATGTCCGACCGGCAAGTCTAAACACTTTTTTTTGTGGGGCTTCGTTATTAGTGATATAATCTCATTACTCTCAGTGTCCAGAACTTACCACCGTCAACTTTATCCACGGTTGAAGAAGGAGTAGTAGATGATGACCTGATTGATCCAGATTATGAAAATTCTGATGACTCAACGACAGATGATTTAGATGATCCAGAAATATAAGGGAAGATTCGCTGGAACTTCAGAGACATAATATGGAATTTTAAAAAAAATACAGGTCGTTCAAAGGAAGGACGAAAAAGAAAGCATCCACACCAGACAGAAAATTATAAAACTTCTTAAAGATACAAAGAAACCTTTTATATCAAAGCGCGGCAAACAGAATTTTAGCAAAAAGTTTGTAGATTATAATTATACTTGCAAAGAGCATTGCCACGAAAAGATTAACGTAAAGCAAAGAAAGTTAATCTTTGAAAAGATCAAACGTAGACGGGTACAAGAAGTGCTGGAGCAAAGTCGTATGTTCACACGTACTTATAAGTTTAACGATTGCAATGTTTGCAGAGAAATATTTACAAAAACATTACAAATATCCACCAAGAGGGTTAGTACTTCCATTAAGAAGTCTAGATCGCTTATTCAACAGGATTTTCATGGCAAACACGAGCAACACAATAAAATTTCTAATGAAATAAAAATCAAGTAGTGCAGCATATTAATTCAATTCCACGGTACAAATCTCATTATAAAAGATCTCAATTAGATAGTTAATATTTGCTATCCGATTTGACCTTAGATCGCATGTACAAATTGTACAAGAGTGAGGTTAAAGTACCTCTTAGTTTTTCTTTCTATAAAAAAGTATTTTACACTCATTTTAATATAACACGTAAACCATTAAAAAAGACACATGTAATAAGTGCGACGCATATTCTGCAAAAGCTGCAGGTGTTGCTAGGTTGTTAAAACAAAAAGTATTACAAGATGATCATCAGTTGCATTTCAAGGAAGCAGAAGACGCAAGACAGAAGATGAAAAGTGATTTTTAGAGAGCTAAAGCAGAAAACAATGTAGAAACATTAACGTTTGACCTTGAAAAGACATTGCCTATTCCAAGACTACCCACACATATCATATTCTATAAACGGCAACTTTGGCTCTACAATTTAGGGATTCATGCCGCTAAAAAAATAAACAAGCCTATTGTTTTGTATGGCCCGAAGATATGGTCGGTAGAGGAGCACAAGAGGTTGGATCGTGCTTAAAGATCTTTATAAATAATTTTCTGCAGGACATCAAACAACTCATTCTATGGTCTGACTCCTGCAGCAGACAGAACCGTAATATAAAGCTGACCCTTCTATTGAAATATATCTTGAAGGAACGTCCAACCTTGCAATACATACATATGAGATTTTTAGTTTCGGGTCATAGCTTTTTGCTAAATGATTCCGAGTTTAGCCATATTGAAAAAGCACTTCAACGGCAACAGAGACTCTATAAACCGCAAGGCTACATAAACATTATGCAATCTGCAAAAAGACAAAACCGTTTACAGTTCATCAAATTTCTAGACGCTTTCGACGGCTAGACAGAGAAAGCACTACTGACAGGCATCCCGACGGATTTACGCAATGAAAGTACACTCTGCGCATCAAGTATTTCACTATTTCATTCAGACGTAAATGTCAGATGTAAATTTCGCTAAAACATTTCTTTTATTTTCGTTTGTGTTTTTTGCTCATTACAGTTTAATAGAACCTAATTATGGAGTTTAATAGCAAATTAAGAGGCCGCGTGATTAACAGTCAATCTCGCGAAATAATAGCCAATGTTATAGAGTTTATGAGAAGAGAAGGAGACTTTAATTCACCTTCAATACCATTTAAAAATGTAAATGATCGTGTTGCTGCAGCCACAGGAGTATCTAAAAACACTGTCGTCCGCATTTCTGGAGAGAAAAAAAGAATCGATAACCGTGAGATATCGGAATTTTCATCACCAAGAAAAACCATTAAAAAACCAAAAACAGTTAATGATATAGATGAAGCTGCACAAGAATCAAATTTTATTTTTTTATTATTAGATAGCTATTTTTGTTTCTGAGTTGTGTTCATTTACAGGCTCAATTTTTTTCCGTTTCTCCTTTTTGATTTTATATGGGGTTTCAAGTTGTTTTTGACTTATTTCGACGTAAATCACAACACACTTTTTTAATAAAGCAAACAAGTGTTAAAAGGTATATGTACGTGTAAACTACAATTACAAAAAATTGATATGAAACCCATGAAACCACCAACAAAAATGTAAAATGTAGATAATTTATCGTTTTGTTTAATAGATCAAGAAATGTAAATATTCCCCTGTTATTTTTTATAAAATTATAAGAAAAATAATTTTTTATATATATATATATATATATATATATATATATATATATATATATATATTTTTTTTGTTACGTTCTCTTTTTTAACCTCACAATTTATAAAAATACACAATAACCTAAACTTACCTCGGCTAGCTTTTTTTTATATATTTTATGACTTTATTTTATATAGAGCAGATTCTCTTCTCTGAGTGGTGTCGGTTCAAGAAGTATTATATTTTATAAACTTTATTTTTATTTTTTTTTATTTAATTAAATTTAGTTTATTTAGTTTATTTTAGTTTATTTAGTTTATTTTATTTTAGTTTATTTTAGTTTATTTTAGTTTATTTAGTTTATTTAGTTTATAGAAAAATGATTCCTATATTTATGATATCAAGCACTTC